TTACAGTCTTCAACAATGAGCAAAACTAATACAGAAGTTGTGGTTTATCTGAAAAATATGTATTCACTAAATCCATGAAAAAAGTGATGATATTTAACCTTCTACATAATAAACAAAATTTACACGGCTTTTTATACTTTTAGAAGGTATCAAATTTTGACTCATCCAAATTGGATTCAAACAGAGTAAGTTTATATAACTTGCTGTATTACAACTTTGTGATAGCACTTTCAAGTCAACCTAGCTTTGAAACAAAGAAAGACAACTGAATTTAGAATACTAACCTTAGGCACATTGGGAATAAATTTAGTATCTCCAAATGCTTTGTAGTTTCCTGAATTGGCATAGAAAGCAGCACAGTAGATCATTATGGCCTGAAATAAAACAGCATTGCTATCCTTAATTGTTTTAATGGGTTATAAACAGTATGGATATCTAATCAAAGCTTTCAGTATTCAAAAAGTATTATTTATTATTTCATATCGGTTAAGAATTAGCTTCTCTAATTGGATAACAAGGGGCCACATGACATTCTTCATTCTTTAGTAAAAAAATTCCATCGGTCTTTAACAGAATAAAACGGACCAGAAAACCGGTCGTTAAGAGACTTTTACATGTTAATGACCATTGTGGCGTGGTTTCTCTGTTTAGAGTGATGTCAATTTTATATTGAAGTTGTTGAATTGTTTACCATATGTTTTTCGTTAATTATAAAATTATAGAAAACTTTATTTTGTATTCATAAACTGAAAAATTGCACTTAAATGAATGGCAGTGACTTATAGTTAGATACGAAGATGTGGTATGATTGCCAATGAGACAACTCTCCACAGAAATTAAAAACTATAGGTCACTGTACAGCCTTCAACAATGAGCAAAGCCCATACCGCATAGTCAGCATTTAGATGTGTAATTAGTTTTGTAATTTGAATTTCCCAAATAATCTGAAATGGAGTTTTCAATTTCAAAATTCTTGTATTACATACATGACATATATTATTATTCTACAATTCAATACTGGTAACGCGATCATTTCAACTAGACCAATATGGCAACTAGATGTAAATATACAAATGTCTTCTCTTGGATGTAGAAAATTATATAAGACCTTCAGAATTGCTACTAGTCTGGTTGTTCAAAACTTCAAAATCTCAATTTTTACTTGAATAAAAACCCAAATAATATGGAAAAGTCATTAAATCGAACTAATAGATCCATGAATCAATTAATCCCTGATAGGTTTATACCTGCCATTCCTCCTCTGTTATCCCTTGTTTAATTGCAAGAGATTTCACTTCACTGATTGGCTGTGTTCTAAATATCTTCTGCAGTAAAATAAAGATGCCAGGAGATTCTGGAGATGTCTGTTAAATAAAAAGATAAAGATGGTAGGCTGAAGACAGATGAATTAATTGGCAATTATGAATAGCAAGCAATGTTCTATATCATATTTGAATTGCATTTTTTTATGCATGTTATATGAGGATATTTGTAATATATCGTGGTTCTTTGTTTCTGTCGTCTTCTAAATAAGAAGTCAGCATTTTAGCAGTATGAAAACTGACAAAACATATTCCTGGCTTTTACTTGAGTCATCACATAACAATATCTAATGCATAACACCTTTTTATTTTGGACTTGTGTTATCAGTTCATCTGGTGCCAAAGTTTCACAATGAGGAAAGTCCCCTTTCTGGCAGACCCGTGTTGACAGATTATTATATATGGACCAGGAAATTTAAATATCAGTTCATCCAACAACGGAGCGGAAGTTATACAATGAACTAAGTAACTTTTAATGTAAAACCATGGTAACAGTTTACTATACCTGGACCAGAACTATGAGTCCACCATACCATGATGCCTGTGCTATGTAATGAGCATACAGTCTTTCTTTTGGTGTCAGACCCTCAAAGGCTGTGATACAATCCAAAAGACAGACCCCTGTGTCATTTGGGATAATATACTGAGATATGTCTGTACTCATTCTACTGCTGAAAAAAGAAAAAAAGTCATCTTGTATCTAAAACAGTTAAAATGTGTTTACACTTCACAAAAAATTTAATGCGGTAAAACATGTATAAACTGTATCATTATGAAAGACAAGCCTTTAAAATGTTTACCAATTAATTACCAAGGTTGATATAACAGCTATAAATGTATCATCTTAGATCAGTATATTTGGGAAATATCTGCAATATACAAAACCTTTATATATTTAGTTAACTTCTATGTCATTTGGTCTCTGGTGGAGAGTTGTCTCATTGGCAATCACACCACATCTTCTTATTTTTAGATGTATTCTTTCAGACTGCCTGACTGAAAAGAAAATGGCAACAGTCATATTCCATGGTCTTCTATCAGTCTATTTTGTCATTTTGTGGGAGTTGGCACAGTGCCAACCGTATGGAGTAGAAAAGAGGCAGAAGATATACCAAAGGGATATTATAACTCATTAGTTGTTCCAAACTGACAATGCCATGGCGAAAAATAAAAATCGACCAAAATACAAACCCCACCAGTATACATGTATTTCATGCACAGATAAAAATTGGATATCATCATTATGTTAAATGTAGGTAAATGTTGTAGGGTTTCCCTTGACCTGGATTTGGCTGGAAGATTTATAAGGTCCTTCCATTTTTCTTTGGTGCAATAGTAAATATAACTCCAGATCAGTTGGTAAAGTGGTGGCATATTTTTCTAAAAGTATATATATCAGAGGGATACATTGGGATACATGACTTCTTTTCATTAGTGGGGCGAGTTGGTGGGTATTGATACAGCAGGATTAAAACCCATGTTAATTAATGGGATGAAATGCCTTTATCCAGTAGGGTTTAACTTCTTTTCATTAGTGGGGCGAGTGTAAAGGCCTTATTCAGAGGGATTAAACTCGTCTAATAAGTGGAGCCAGTTGGTAGAAAGAAGAGACAATTTGGACTTGGGCGATTTGACATGGATTCAGACAAACTCAATAGTACAGAGAGAAATTAACATTCAAGATGTACATTTGTGTTGAATATTTCAAACATAGAGATGTTCTCTTATAACAATTCAGCTACAAAGTAGAAAGCATTGAAAACAAGCATTCTGAGAGTATTGCATGGCAATACATAGACCCCTACCAGTTAAAAATTCAATGTACTGGAACAAAATGCTCAATCTATAACTTTTCATGGTAAAACTATATATACAAAATATCAATTCAATATCTTCAAGCATAAAAAGAAAGTGCGGAAAACTGATTATTTGCATGAATTTTCTAAGTCCGAAGACCATAACTCTACACAAAATTATCGAACCAGAATAAAAATTCAAACTTGATTTGAAACTGGTCATGATAAAACTATATACTAAATATGAAACCAATATCTTAAAGCAAGAAGAAAAAAGTGTGGAAAATTGATTTGCGGCATTGACAGACAGACAGAAGGACGGATGCAAACCTAAAGTCCCCTTCGACTTCATCAGTAGGGGGGACTAAAAATAAAATTAAATATATATTCAGGACAAGAACATGTTAATGTAGGATGAATATTATTAAACACTGCTTTGGACAAAATGTTGGACTAGACCAACATGCTGAGCCAAATTTTTTAAGCACTAGTCCACAAGGTAACAGTCTGCAGAAAGACCCTACATGGACACATAACTCCGACTCCCACTCAGAACCAGTCTTTGCTTTTACCCTTTTAAATGCTGATTGATTAGTGCCAATATAATAATAATAGTGGGACTTGACAGATATATAGCCCGTTAATAGTCTATGTGCAATTAAAAAAAAAAAATTTATACCCCTACTATCCAAAAACATTCGTAGACGATTAACACCTGGCTATATATCTGACCTGTAGTCAAGCCCCTATGGAAGAAGCAGCAAATACCAATATTTAAAGTCTGTGGTTTGACCTGGTGTGGGTTCAAACCCACAACCTCCCTTAGTTGAGGCCAACTAGCTGCCGAAACAAGCACATATGGTCCACAAATTTTCAAAAATATCACAAGAACCTATGACCCATACAGATAAAATGATAGGATGGCCAACTGCATGCATTGCTCAACTGGCCGCCAGTTGAGCAAACAGTTAAGGGCCAGTTGAGGGCTAGCTGGCCGTCAGTTGAGCATATAGTTGAGGGCTACCTGGATTTTTGCCATGCAAATTAGGTAGCCCTCAACTACCAATTGCTCAACTTTATTCAAATTAGTTGAGAAAGGTTGAGCTCAACTACAAAAAAATCAAAGTTTGAATGCTCAACTTTTGCTCAACTACATGAAAACCAAAGATCAATTGCTCAACTTTTCCTCAACTTAATGGCCAGCTTCAGTTGAGGGTCAGTTGAGCGACATCTATCCAACATACAGTGCTTGGCCAGGTTTGAGTTGAGCTAAATTGCTCAACACCTAGCCCTCAACTATTTTGCTTAAAACAGCTAGCCCTCAACTGTCCGCCACATGGCCCTCAACTTTTTTTCTGTAGGGGAGCTACAGTTCCGCAGCTAGAGGCGAACACACTACCAATGTACCATGATCGAGATCACTGATTTGGTCCACCTAAGATTGAAGATAACTCAAATGACCTCCATGACAATGCCAATGGTCCATGACCATGTAGTAATGTTTTTTTGCATATCTTATTTGACTTAATGTAAATTGGTTTCACTTGGAAATTATGTAGGTATTGAAAAACGGGATTTACAGAGAGAAAAAACGGGATGCTGGTCGACTGACAGACTGACATAAAAAAAAGTCACTTCTTCTTCTTTCGTTAATCAGCAACGGAAAAATACCATCACGCTGATGCTGTGTCATCAAGTGCAGGTGCTGACATATTCGGACCCCTCTACAGATCTTTAGAGGATTTGTAACAGCATACATTTAACTTCTAGTATAGCTATTACAATGAAATATAAGCTAACCACGAGAAAACTTTGTAGACTTTCACTTTAGGTAGGCACTTGCAACAAAGTCCCGGAAGTAAAATAAGTTGAAGAGGGGAAACAACTCTGTACAAACTGTTGGATGACAACAGGATGAATGTCAACTGAAAAAAATACTTATAATAAGCATGTAACATCAAGTTTTATTATAAAAAGTGAGAAGATACACCATGATCTAACAAGTAACAAAAGGTGATAATCGAAGCTTATGGTTTTGTGACCATAATTTATGTATTGAACCCCTCCCCCTTTTATAAATATTTTGCTAATATTATTATTATAAAATGTTATTTTTCGCGTGTCAACTATGACATATTGGAAAAGGATGCATTTTTCAACTCATTTTTATCATTAGCTTGAAAACGAGAGCAATCTACCCCAATTTTATTACAATTTGGCTTGATTATGGATCATTAAGACATTATGACGTATGAAGATTAAATTTACTATTAGTACCAATACACCTTATCGCTATTTATTCCTATCTGGATAAGTTCTAAAATTACACAACTTTTCAAACCAGTTGAAGCTATCTGGGGCCTAAAAATTTTCAAAGAGACATGTTTAAACCATCTTAAGCACATCAAACAAAGCATTTTCATTGACATGATTTCAATTTTTCTTTTAAAATTTGCTTCTTAAACTATCAAAATTTTGAAATGTCCGCTTTCCAAACATTTTTTCCCTCAGCTCATTGTTGATAAGTTTTGTTTTGTTTCGCTTGACCTCAACAGGAAGTTGTCTAAATAACTGTTTTCCCGGATGGAATTTCTTTACATTGATAAATATACCACAAAAGTGCTGTTTTTTATCTAAAATTATAAAAAGTTAATAAAAATTAAATTATTTTCAAAGAATTGTTGCACTTATTTAGAGCATAATTATAGAAATAAGATACTCCGAATGTTTTTTCATAAGTCCTTTTGTATTTATCTATTAGAACAAAAAAGTTAGCTTGTCTATCAAATGAAAAGAAATATCTGAGAAAACGAAATTTTTAGTTAATGTCTAAAATTTCCACCCCATTTATCTCTATAAGAAGCACATACAGGTATATTTTTTATTGCATATTTGAATTGACTACATTGTAGGTGATAAATAGCTTGTATGCAACTTTTCGTGAAAAAATCACAATGGGATCTAAACTGTATTGTATGCCCTGAAAGAGGGTAACCCAATTAGTTTTCACTAATCTTACTTGTGGGCCCTCATGAAGTAAGTACAAAATGATTTAGAACATACAAATAAACTGAAGCAGGAGCAATTCTGCTGGAGATTCGGGGATGCAGACCACAGCTTATACTAGCTTATTGACTGATTGAAACGGAGACGATGAATAGCGACCAAGAATAAAAAAATGAGCCAATGTGGAGATTTAATTTTGATTAGATTGATGAGGGGCCTGATGGGTTATTTTTGTTCTTCGTGATCGGCGCATTTTCGCTATCGTGATCCGTTTTTTCTACAGATTTATTTTTTTTTATATATTTTCGTGATCCGTGATCATGGAAATTTATTTTCTGTGAATCGTGATTGACAAAAAAATCAACTTGTGAATCATGATGAGATCCCCCCCCCCATCAGGCCCCTCATTGATTCCAAATCGGTTATATGAAATGTTTAAGTTTTTCGAAGAAGTTTATAAATGATTTGCAACGATGAAAATTCTAAACTTAAGAATATAAATTAATATCTTTAACTAATGAATTCAAAATACCAATATCTATTCAATTTAACAAATATGTACTGAATAAGCATCATGTAAATTATAAAATAAAGAAATATGAAATTTGGAGTTTATACAAGGGAGATAACAATTACATTATAATGCTGTCTGCCACATTTTCATTTTCATTAGAAATCATGTAAACTGTAAAAAATGCCAATATCTGCATCATATGCCCAGATATGGTCAATATGTCTTATTTTGATAAATTTTTTGTAATTTCTGTTTTTCTTTCTTGAAAAGTAATCTGACAAATATCGTTTTGTACCTGTAAGACCTTTTATTCACAATAATTGTGTTTTGTCCAAACTCATCTCCTAGGCCTCAGACCACAATTATTCTTTCCATTGGTTATAAAAAAGAAGATGTGGTATGATTGCCAATGAGACAACTCCCCACAAGAGACCAAATGACACAGAAATTAACAACTATAGGTCACTGTACGGCCTTCAACAATGAGCAAAGCCCATACCGCACAGTCAGCTATAAAAGGCCCCTAAATGACAATGTAAAACAATTCAAACGAGAAAACTAACGGCCTAATTTATGTACAAAAAATGAACGAAAAACAATGCATTTCTTTGTAAAAGTCAAATTGAATTAAAAAATTTGCACCGCATCAAACATGAAATAAATTTAACTGCTGATTATGGCAAGCCGTTTTACAATTTATTCGAATTTCAAGATATCTCATATAATATATAAGATATCTTATATAATATATAAGACATCTCATTTAATATATAAGATATCTTATATAATTTCATTTAATAAGATATCTTAAAAACTATATAAGATATCTTATAAACTATATCAGATATCTTATGAACTTTATAAGATATCATAAACTATATAAGATATCTCATATAATATATACGATATCTCATATAATATATAAGATATCTTATATAATCTGTTTTTTATAAGATATCTTATATAATATGGAAGATATCTTATATAGTATAAGATATCTTATATACTTTATAAGATATCTTATATACTTTATAAGATATCTTATATATTTTATAAGATATCTTCTAAAGTTTATAAGATATCTTATATAGTTTATAAGATATCTTATATAGTTTATAAGATATCTCATATAGTTTATAAGATATCTTATATAGTTTATAAGATATCTTATATAATTTATAAGATATCTTTAAAAAAAATTATATGAGATATCTTATAAACTATATAAGATATTTCATAAAGTTTATAAGATATCTCATAAACTGTAAAAGATATCTTATAAACTATATGAGATATCTTATAAAGTTTATGAGATATCTTGAAGTTAGAATAAATAGCAAAACGGCTTGCCATAGCTTATAGACGATTATTATTCTAATAAAATATGCTTATCCCAGGACAATCCATCAGTGCTTTTTCTTTTGAGAGCCCTATTAACATGCCAATGGTAGGATTTGAATCTTGAATAAATGACGAAGGCTAATTTCTTCCCTACTTCCATTTTGGCCAAATCACTACTTTCACTTTCAACAATAAATTTTTTCCACATGTTTTACTTATTTCAATATATATGCAACTGATAGGACCACTTAAATAGTAAACATTTCAAAGAAAACAGTAGTCAGAATATTCAGGAAGAAATACCCCATATAATAATTTGGAACTATATTCCTAGACCACGAACATTTAGGGAATTAATTGTGGTCTGAAGCCTTAAGACAAATGATAAATTTCATAAATAAAGTCTGAAACTTAAATGTCTATCAAATTTATGTACATGTATCTGCAACAATAAGCACACAAAATGCAAATGTCATAATAAATAAAAATGAATAATTTGTAATGACTAAACATTAAATCAAATATATATCTGTAAAAGTTAAATAATGAGACTGTTCAAGGGAGACCACAATGTTCATCAATCTGCTACAAAACAATTAAAAACAAACAAGCAGTTTATATACATAAGATTAATATGATTCATAGTCCTCAAAAGCTTATTATAAATTGCAGAAAGATTTTTTATCACTAAATCCTAACATCAAAACAAGTATTCTTCATGTTTTTGATCACACAATGAAACATATTTTATTACATGGTAATGAAGTATGGAGAATGTTTAATTCTCTTTCCTCCAAATGTAAGAAGGAATATGCATCTTTTGAAAAATTATATTCAGGTTTACCCTGTGAGAAACTTCACATTAAATTTAGCAAATTTATACTTGGTGTGCACAAAAAAACAACAAATGTGCAGTGTTATCTGAACTTGGTAGATTTCCAATTTATTTTAATATTATTAAAGGGATGCTATTGTATTGGTATCCATTAGAGAATTTAGGAGTAATTTTCCTCTATTGAATAAAAAATCATGGTATGGTTCAATAAATGTTTGTATTGAAGTTAGTTGGAATTAATTGTACAAATGCTTGAAATATTCCAATTTATGAATCTAATTACAAATTTAAGAAGTATATACAAACCAAGCTATCAACTGTGTTCATTAGCTACTTGAAAAAAACAGTTAGATAAATGTTATGACGGTAAACTGAAAATATAATATCATATACATGTTTAAATCAAATTTTGGTTTTGAGAAATATCTCACACTGATTAAGAATTTTTACAAGGTTACATATTTCTTCACATAGGTTACAAATAAAACTGGGTAGATATCAAGGTATTCCCTGCCACAGCAGAAAATATAATAAATGTACTTCCAGCACTGTGGAAGATGAGGCTCATTTTCTTTTTGATTGTACAAATTTTAAGGATAAAAGAGATGATTTGTTGACATTTCCACATATATATATATTTAGCATGCCAGTTAGTCTTTAAGGTATCATCCCCTGGTGTCAACTGCATTCAAGTTACCTATGTTGCTACCTTTTATGCTTTTGATATAGGTAGGATAAAGACATTTTCCACATATATATTTAGTATGCCAGTTAGTCTTTAAGGAATCATCCCCTGGTGTCAACTGCATTCAAGTTACCTAAGTTGCTACCTTTTATGCTTTTGATACAGGTAGGATAATTAGATATAGGAAGATGTGGTATGAGTGCCAATGAGACAACTCTCCATCCAAGTTACAATTTATAAAAGTAAACCATTATAGGTCAAGGTACGGCCTTCAACACGGAGCATTGGCTCACACCGAACAGCAAGATATTTTCCACATATATATTTAGCATGCCAGTTAGCCTTTAAGGTATCATCCCCTGGTGTCAGCTGTATTTACAATGTAGGATCCCACACTGCTATCTTACTTGTTGCTGACACGGGAAGTGCTGTAAACATGCTGAATCTTTTGGGCTTGACAACTTTATGTATATCTTTTATTTAACTATGTATTTTTTTTTTCTCAATATATATTATCAAAAACCTAATAGCAACCACATTTGCATTGTGTATTATAAAAGCTTAAGCTGCTTAAATATTTACTTAAGAAAATATATTGATCACTTGATTTTACTGAATGTTATTTGTGTTATTCTCAAATTATAAAGTTATTGTCATGTCAAATGAGGGTGGTAAAGGGTTATTTTCGTGCAACATGTTTTGCCATTTTTATTTCACGTGCAGCCGTGAAAAAGGTTCGTTATTAACCGTGTTTCGTGAAATCAGTAAAAAGATCAATGTGCAAGAAATTTTTAATTGTTCGTTCATCGTGAAATGGCAATTTTATTTCACGTTCTTCCGTGCGGATACCACCCTTTACGCCCCTCTCAAATGTGTATGCCCTTTGGGGTCCTTTATAATTATTGGAATTAAATATTCTTCTTCTTCTTCATAGTGTACATTTTAATTAATAATCTACATTTGTATATATCTCTGTGTGACTTGATGAAGATGTTTGAAGCATTTAGATTTAAATAAACATTAAGATTTTGATTTTTTTATGTTCTTTAGTAAGCTATTCAATAGAATTGCAGAACTGTATGCAAAAGATTTTTTCATTTTATTCCTGTTTGGCTGAATAACTACCAAATTGTTTTTTCAGACGGATCTTAAATTTCTTTCATAAATTTCAGATTTCTGAGCACACAACTTTTTCATAAAATCGGGAGTTTTATCGTGCAAGATATTATATAATGATATGAAATTCTGTCTCAGAAACTTAACCAATTTAATCTGTCAAAAAGTTCTCTCGATGGTGTAAAGAAAGGGGCATCTAAAATTATTCTTGCTGCTCTTTTTTGAAGTTTTATTAATGTCTGGAGGTATTCTTCATTACAATTACCCCATACTGTGCAATAGTGGTCAAATATTGGTAGAATATAAGAATTCTATAATAAAATTTTACTTTTGTGGTCTAAGTATTTCTTGATTTTTGCAAAAATGAATAACCTTGAGCTAATGGTTTTAGAAATTTAATTGATTTGCTCTTTCCAAGTAAGGTGGTGATCTATTTTAATTCCTAATACCTTTTATAAAATTGAGAATGGAAATGGGGAATATGTCAAAGAGACAACAACCCGACCAAAGAGTATTCTCCCGGACGTTTTAATAATTTTATTATCTATACAATTATAATGAATTATATTTATTTGCTTGTCCAATATATTTTTCCTCTGGGGAGAGAAGTAATTGTAATATCTGCCTCAGATTGTTTAATAATAGTAGTACATGTAGATACTTAGCCAGCCGTAATCGGTTGAGCTAGGGAAGTATTTATATAACTCAGTCTGTTAAAGCGCTGACTTTGAACACAGAGGTCACAGGTTTGAGTCCTGGAGGAGACCATGTGATTTTCTAGTTAAAGTTATACTCCCCAGTTTACTAGTTATAAAATAGGTGCGGATCCAGCCATTTTGTAAAGGGAGTGTTCCGACCCCAGTAACACCATGAAACGTTCACTAAATTAAGAAAAAAATCAAATGAAAGGGGGTTCTAACCCCTGGAACACCCACTGTATCTGCTAATGATATGATAAATATACTAAAAAATTGGCTAAGTGAAAAAAGTATAAAAAGGGACAATATACACAAAATATGCTTGAGAGATTTGATATGACTTCAAAAAATAACCTAGAAAAGCTTATTAGTGGGAACACGCAGATAACAGTGAATAGCAGTGATGATAGTGATAGCAGTGATGAGCATTGTGAAATAGTGTCTCGGGGGACAATAAACTTGCTTTTGTCCTAATAGCCAGTAAATAAGTGTATAATATTTGTGGGATATGACATAATAATATCTGCCTCAGGTTGTTTAATAATGACACAAAAACAGGTTTATATAATGAAGCATCATAAGCATATCAACTGGTTAAAAATGTGACATCTTTAAATCAACCAATTAAAACTTGTTTACATGTTTTCCATCATATTCTAAAACCCATTATATTAAACGGAAACACCCTTAAATACTATTCAAATAGCTTAAATAATTTTTGGTTGGTAAGGGTTCCTCCCCTTGGCCCTCAGCTAAGGATTTGCATTGGGCCTAGACCACATGCTAATTGTTCTGGAAAATTTCCATAATATATATGTTGGCAAGTATGAAATATATTTTCAAAATGTATTTGTTTATCTATGGATGAAAAGTTTTTTAACACGTAATATCTTTAATTTGAAAGAATTTGAAAGGTTGTAAATAAATTAGTTTCTTTTATATTTCAGAATAAGAAGATGAATATCTATAGAAATTAGGATCAAACAGGCATGAGATAGTTGAACATCATGGATACCAGTATCAGTGGTCACTCTTCCACCTCTGAAAGGGATGACATTGAATGTCAGCTACAATATGAAAATGTAGGATCTGTAATGTTCCAAAATGAAATGCATGCTGGGAATTTTCTGAAGGAAATGAACTTACTGTATGAAGATGATTTGCTGAAGGATATCACTCTTTGTGTTCAAGGTCAATCATTGTCTTGTCACAAGGTCGTCTTGGCTGCTGCAAGTCCTTATTTCAAGGCCATGTTTACATTAGATTTAAACGAAAGTAAACAATCACTTATTGAGCTACATGAAATAGATTTTGAATCTGTTAGTTTTATTGTTGACTATTCTTATACTGGTTCCATAAATATTCACCAGGAAAATGTACAGAATCTATTAGGAGCTGCTTCCCTGTTTCAGATTTTACCAGTGCAAAAAGCTTGTGCCAAATTTTTAGAAACACAAGTTGATAATTCTAACTGTATAGGTATATTCAATTTTGCACATATTCATAATTGTGATAGTCTAAGACTAAAGGCTAGAGAACATATTGAGAAAAATTTTACAGAAGTTTGTCGAGGAGAAGAATTTTTATGTCTGTCATTAGATAAAGTAGAAGATTTGATATCAAGTGATGAATTGAATGTTGATCGTGAAGAGATTGTTTTTGAAGCAGTTATGACATGGATTTCAGAGAAAGAAGAAGATAGACGATCTTTTATTGGTGGTTTGCTGCCCCATATTAGACTTGGACTTCTATCTGTCAAATATCTGAAAGACAATGTCATGAACAATAAATATATTCAGGATTCTGATACTTGTATTAATCTTCTAGAGAGTTTGATTAAATTAGAAAGTAATCCTGAACTTTATTGTGGCAAACACAATTTCAGTCTGGCCTTGAGGTCTGGAATGATTAAACCAGAACATTGTATTCTTTTTGTAGGAGGGACTGATCATGGTCGACGGAACACTTCTATCAATTGTTACAATCCATTAACTAGAGAAACATTTTATATGGAAGATTATCCAACTGCCAAACGCTTAGGAGATTATGAAGTAGAAGATTTATCGTGTGTTGTTACCGAACAAGGAATGTTATACTCAGGGGGTGGTAACTACATTTATCATGACTTTCCTTCGGAACATTTCGATTCTGACGATTCTTTTGATGATTTAGAGGAGAGAATTGTTAGAAAAGACTTCTACTGCTATGACAATGATCACAACAAGTGGCTATCCATGGCACCAATGCTGTTCCCAAAGTCAAACTTTACTTTGGCAAGCTTGGGCAAGAAAATTTACTGTTTTGGTGGAGTTACCGAGAACCAACATCCAACAGAAATTATTGAAGTTTACGACATCGAGAAGAACCGATGGAGTTATCAGGGTATGTTACCTACAACACTTGTAGACTTATGTTCAGTTGTATATGATGAATATATATTTCTGTTAGGTGGTAGAACAGGTGTTGGTGCTCATAATCTTGTCGTAATGTACCACCCAACAAAAGGAAACTGGATTTCCAGAGCAGGGATGCCAACTCCACGATTTAAATTTGGTGCATGTTTGGTGCATGGTGAGATTTACGTAGCTGGAGGCCAGATTTACTCGCATGCCTCCCAGACAATAAGTAGAGAAGCTCTGAAATCAGTAGAAATATTTAATATATCAGACAATCAGTGGCGACAGGGTCCAGATTTACCAGACGAAATGTACAATGTAGGACTAAGCATGGTGAATGGTGCTCTATATTGTTGTGGGACGGTAGAATATAGAAGATTAACCAGAATATGTCGTTATAACATTGTGTGTAAACTTGACTTTGCGACAAATCGTTGGACCATTATAGAACAATTGCTGAGTACTTGTCAGAACTTCCATTGTATATCAGCAAGACTCCACACACGGAAACTATCACAAGTCTTCCGACCTGATGTTGATACATAGCCTCAAATATACATTAGGAAGAATTTTTTATTTTTCAATATGTACAACAAACTCTGTTCTTAAATAGTTTTCATTTAAGCTGTTTCTGTATAAACAATGATAAAAAATCTATGTATTCCTTGCACATTTTTACATCTACATCAAGAAAAGGTATAAAAAGTTAAATACATTTCTTGCATTTTTAACAGTCATAACAAAGTTATGCAGCTCTTGATTATTTTTACCCGTTTAAGACGATTACTTTTACTCGTTTAAGACAAATTAAGGTTAAAATGTAATCCTAATAGAAGATTTAACATACATGAGATATATATTGAAGTCAAAAAAATTTTAAAACATGACTCATAGAACTTACAAAATGTACATGTACCTGTTTTATTTTTCAAATTTCATTTGAAATTGATTGTAAATCGGTAGAATTTGATGGTAAGAATTTTTATTTTTCTGCACTTATTTCAACATAACCATGATAACTAGAACTTTTTCTTTTTGCAATTGCTGGAATTTTTTCCCAGTTGCTTATTTGGAAAGAAATAATTCAAATTGTGACTTGAAAATGTTTTTTTTTCTTTCTTAAAGTCGGATGATTTATCTTGTATGACTAGATACATTTGAATTTGATCTAGTCATGGTAGTCTTTTTTCATGTTTATTGGAGAATTTGAAACTATAACAAAACTAAGGTGCCAAATGTGTAATTAATCTTGTGAATGACTTTAATTTGAAAAGAATTGGATAATGACCATTAGGAATGTACTGGTACAAGGTATTCAGTGGTATTGATTATCTATTTAACATGTTTAAATTATAGGCCAAGTAAAAAGATATGTCTGTTTAGGGTAAGTTAAGTTGGTACATGTAGGTAAATAAATACTTATATATATAATATAGGTTGATTGATTGATTTATTATAGTTCAACACCAGGTCAGCTCACATATAGACTGTAAACGGGATCAATTTGGAATTAAAGCAAGCACAAACATACCACATCTCCTTATTTTATATTAAATGACCTCCTGATGGAACAGCCTGTTGAATAAATTGTTAATTTCCTATTGTTTTGAATATGCATGAAATATTTGCCACTGAACAAACGATCAATGAATGAATCAATTTATATTTGACTTAACCTGTACTTGTTTTTTAGAATCTTTGTAAGTTGTACATGTCTGTTTTACTTGGTCTAGCTGATATTGGCCTCACTTTCATGGTTTATCAATCAAAATTTGTTCAGTTTCTTAATTTAATTAAGTTTTGAATAAGACTTAGAAAAACTGTAATATTTCATTTATTGTCTGTTAAATGTATCTGTGGTAGTTTTTTGTCTTCTGTAATTCTTAAAGGATTGATACTTTCTCGGACTGATTGATAATTATATTTTAATCAACATGTGGCTTGTTTGATCTCAGTTGTTGATTGGTCAAAATTCAATTATGACGTCAAATTTCTTGATTTACTCTGAATTAACTATTGTGATATATCATGAAAAAAGCCACCATGCCTGATGACGTCAATTAAATAGAACACATCTTTTTGAAGATCATTGAAAAAGAAAGAAAAAGTGTGCATACATATTTTCTAAAAATCATTTAAGAAACAGACACCACCATGGAATCTTATGCAATATGATAATGACATGTATGATATTTCTACACTCTTGACAGTTAAATTCCAAAGACATTATATTAGAAATAATCAGCAAGCCTCTCATTTCAAATTTGAAAATTGAACTCTCTTGAGTTGAGAAATATAGTATCAATCTCAATGCAGTGGTAGAATCTATATTTCATTTAAATTGGATTCATGTTAATCTGACTTTTATCCTATAGATTTTTATGATATTCAGTCGTGATGATTAATTATGCGGGCAAGACATTACTATGCATCCACTGTTGTTTATTTTGACATATTATTTCCTTTACTGTCACTGCCTAAGACTTAATTGTCTTTTTGGGAGATGCATTTTTTTTATTGCATTTAAGAATAAATATCAGAGTGTATTTTAGAATAATTAGGCTATAATAATACTGTAAATTAGATGTGGCTTGTTGATATAAATGTAAATTGTGTGGCCTAAATACAATTTTTTTTATCAGACTTTCCATTTATATAACTAGATTCATATGATTTTATTGTATTGCAGTACATTTTTCACAAAACTATTCTGATTGATTCAAAATTTATAAAACGTTGCTTTATAATGGGAGATAACTCAGTTGATTGAGTTTTTATAAAAGACTGTATTGAAAAATTATCTAATTTATAATGTTGTGGGAAAACACGTTTTCATTCTACTAACATGAGTGCTGTCTTGTGTATAATAATTACATAATATGAGAAATTTTGTATAGCTTTTACTAGCCCGAAAACAAGCATGGTGACCTATACTTTTTTTTTATTGTACCTGTATCTAAAAAAAAAATATATAACTACATTTTGTAAAGCATACACAAATTTGAATCCAATAAAACTTAAATTAAGTCATTAGGTAAAATTCAGTAATTTTTTTGTTTACCTAGAATGCAATAGAGAATTTTTACCTACAGAATTTGATTCTCAAAGAAGCTGCCTTTCACAGATGGAAATATTAGGACCTTACGATCTTCCTCACTGTTTATACAGGGTGCATATGTCTCATGAAAAGATTTGTAGTATCATCAATACTTAAGCAGATTCAGACTGGCTCTAGTCAAGGTGCACTTTATAATAAGTGTTGTAATTGCCACAAGATTTTGTAGTTAGCCCCTGACATTCTGGCTTATAACACCTATAAAACTGACCACTATGAAATTGTACAAATTATTATATAAATGGTATTTACCTCTAACAACAAACAAACAATTATCTCTCTAGGGATAAGCTTTGGGTGTTTCTAAACAATTCAATGGTTTATAGTGTGCTATTTTTTTCATTTTCCCTAGTGCTTCCATAATCATATTGTTGTTATAAAAAATTTTTGCCAAATTTTTATGTCTGATATTTTATGCGTTATAAAAAAAAGTTTGCATCCTCTACTTTTAACTGGATAAAATGATTGCACATGTATGGTAATTAGGTGGAGATTCCCTTAACATTGATTTCCTTTATAATCCTTACAAACAATGATAATTTTGCACAGCTAGTTATAGCTAGAAAACAAGCATGGTGACCTATACTTTAAATGACACCTTTATTTTTGAAAATAAATATGTAGACCTTACTGAGAAGTCAGAATGATATGGTTTGATTTACATTTGTATTTGTTGTTGTTTGTCAACCTGTTAGTGTATCTGCTTTATCTCCATGTGTACACACTGTTTACTTCTAAGAATAATGTCAACTTAGTAAATAATATTTCTGTGGATTTGATATTATTCCAGAGGAACTAATTTTGAGAATTTCTTTAGTAAAGGTGAACCAGATGTTAGCAATTTCAACATTCTACAAAATTCAAATTGGATTGCATGCATGAAAATACATTTTCTCCTTAATCCATGAAAGTTGCCCAGACCCATATTGAACCTCTAAGGCAACACTCATCATAAAAAAAAAAAATTATATAAAGTGTTCAGCCTTTTGATATTATGGAAGCCTTACTAAGAACTTAATTCTAAAATGATTAAAAATACAAGTATAAATTGAAGTTCTTTTGGTGATTTTTTAGCTGAAATGTCATTTTGCTGTGAGAAGAATTAAGATCTATGAGGGTCTGAATGGGGTTTACAGAATAGAGATTAATTGTCCAATCGAATAAAAATAAAAATAGAGAATACTGGGTAAACAAATAAAGAGTATTGAAAAATAGCTTAAAATATCAAGAATACAGAAATCAAGACCCCATCCAGACCCTCCTCTATTATTCAAAATAACATTACAATAGCATTCCAAAATATAACAGATGTCTGTCCTCTTAGTCTTTCATTAAAAAGAAGCAAAATCTTGCTGACACATTTTCAAAATGATTTTAGTGAAGAATGTTGCAAGTCTTCAGGTTGTCAGCTTATCAATTGTAAACCTACTTTGGTAATGTATTTTATTTTTTTCATGCTGTCAAACATTTTAGACATATGTTATATTTGTAATACATGTACCATCAAACAAAACATTAAATGAGAAAAATTAAAGAACTGTGTTTATATTTTGTAATAACTTTTATATGATTCGCATGACTGATTGATTGAAATATCAATCAGTAGACATCAAACGGATTTAGTATAAAGACTTCATAAATCATCTGAGAAATGCTCTACTTTGTGCAATGCCAAAGTATAAGTAATACAAGTTTGGTTATCTCCTGTTTAACATGTAAGACCAGGACTGTATTCCTTAAAACAAAATCTTCAGGTAGTACTCCATAACTGTAAAGCTTCATCAATATATCCATCTAGTCATTTATGATCAGTGCTTACATGAGCCTATTAAATAAATGAAAACATATCACTTTTTAAATTTCATACATCCCAAGACGCACTTTTCTGGATTTACCTTCATCAGCAACACTCAAACCTGAATATTTGAAAGCAAAGGATGTATAAGAACCCAAAAAAGTGAAGAGCTAACGTAAACCAAGAAGAACCAGCTAAGGTCAACTTTGCGAGAGGGAGGTAAAACATTATTTCTTTATAATTTTTAAATGACCAAATTTAGAAAGCTTAAAATGAATTTCTATTATAATTGAAGTTAGTAAGCTTGTTTCTATCCCCTTTAACATGTAGAATCAAACAATATTCCTATATCCACATCCTCAGGTTGTGTTCTACAACTGTTTAAGTTTCATCAATACCTGTTCAGCCTTACAAGAGGTGAATTGCTTATAAGATGCAAGGACAGACAGACATACTTCATCTGCTCCACCTGCAGCTTAATTGTTAGTTGTACATTTCTGCATGGGACTTGAAAGGTGAGGTGTACCATAAACATACACTGGCAACACTGTGTTCATTATAAATAATGCAATACCAGTCTCACAAAATGATTCTTTTAAAAATAAAAAGCCAGTAGTATCCTCAGGCAAACCTATTTAACCTGCCACATTCTCTATGTGCCTGTCCCAAGTCAAGAGACTGCAATTCAGTGGTTGTTGTTTGTTGATGTATATCATATTTGTTTTTTTCCTTGTTTTGTACATAAATGTGGCCGTTAGTTTTTTCGTTTCAATTGTTTTACATTTGTTATTTCGGGCCTTTCATAGCTTGCTATGGGGTATGGGTTTTGCTCATTTGTTGAATGTCGTACAGAGAGCTAGTTGCTAACTTCTACATCATTAGGTCTCAGGTAGAGAGTTGTCTTATTGGCAATCATACAAAATCATCTTGATTTTATAAGAATGTCATACTTTATGATTTCCACAAAAATTTCTGAAAGCAAAAGTTAGATGTCCGACAAGTGTACAACACCAGAAATAAATTCAAATAAAGTAACTGAAAAAATACAAAATACATCTGCAAATCATCATTATACATATTACACTTACTTATGCAACTCTAATTGTTAACGTAATGTATTGTAACGTCATATCATTATTACACTTATTGTAGGCATAATGTTTCTAGTCAGTATAGTAAACAGGGTTTGAAATATACACACGTCTTTCTATAATTCACACAAGCGAAGTACTACCACTAAACCCAGACAATACACAAATGTACCAAAACTCAACTCTTTCCTACAGACATGATTTCCACCAAAAATGAGGAAGAGCCATATCATTTAGCTGACAAATCAAATGTTGACCACAAGATATGAATACAAACTTAAATTCTGTGTAATAGTGAGGCGCAAGATACCAAGGGATAGTAAAATTAATAAGTGGAAAACTAAATTGACAATGCTGTGGCAAGAAAACTAAAAACAACTTTAAGTCTCAGCCTACAAAACACAACATAGATAACTAATTTAACTGACTTACTCTTATCACATGCTGACAGAATCTTTAACACCAACGTAGTTGTGTTGAGATTGCATGCACATTACCATTTGTGCAAATAAACATTTAAATCTTGAACCATGTCCTAGTTGTGTTAGATTAAAGTCATCTGTTTAGTCTAGGACAACACTTGTTTATCAAATCAAAATTACAAATAGACTGATCCCATTGATCTAGGTCCAATGAAATCAAAAGACTCTTTGCTCTTATTCCAATTAAATCAAAAGACTATTAGATCAATGATTTTTAGTGTACTTTTACTTCTTTGTCTTATTTTTCGAAACTAACTTTACTTTATAACTATATATTTAACTATATAACTATACTATATAAAAGGTGGTGTGGTTTAGATGCCATTGACAGCAACTCAATCAAACAAATGTCCAAATGTTTCTTTCTAAAGGTCTGCGGATCTCTTTTGGGACTCCGGTTCCTACAACTAAAATGATTGGCCATTAGGATATAGCCATGAGTGCTGAAAGTGGCGTTAACACACCAACAATAACTCAACCAATCAAACAACCAAAGATATTTTTTTTGTTTAACCTTTTTATTTCAATTTTTGTTTATCACAGTTCTTCGATATAAATACAAATAATGATTATACACCAATCTGTATTAATCCATATTAGCTACGTGGTAACAGAATTATACATGTTTGTGTAGCAACAATGCACAGATGTTAATGAAATACTATATTCACAGTTCCCATATAAAAAAATCCCACAAGTTTATCAAATATTCCACATGAGATTATCAATTCTTCACATTATCTAACATCTGTTTATCAATTCTTCACATTATCTAACATCTGTTTATCAAATCTTCACATTATCTAACATAAGTTTATCAAATATTCACATTATCTAACACTTGTTTATCTAATCTTCACATTATCTAACATTTGTCTGTCAAATCTTCACAGATTCCACATGATTTTTTCATATCATAGTTATGTTTTTCACAATATAAACCCACATGAGTTCATAAAATTTTATTCTAAATGAGTGTATAAGGTTGGACGAGGTTTTCAATATAGGTACACATGAAATAAATCCTTATAAAAAAGGTATAAGCTCATTTAATATAGACAAACTCAAAAATAACGTTCAAAGCTTGAGATTTTCATCTCAGCATAATTTATATTTTCTAACTATTGTATCTAACTTCAGTATAAACTCAAACGATAGTAAAGAACCTATTATAGAACTCTGCTGTAGGTTGTTCTCTTGGTGTTTGTCTTTTATGTTCTATTGTATCTTGTAAATATTCAGGATCAAAGTTCAGATCTATCATAAAAAATATGGAGAGATGTGTCCATAGAAATAATCAACTAATTAGAAATATTGAATAGTAAATATTCTTACAATATTCATTGATATCTGAATAACGTTGGTAGAATATAGGTTTTTAAAATGATATAAAACCTAACAATTTAATAACATTTGGAATCAAATAAACTACTTAAAAGAATATACCCAGTACAAGTACGTGTATTAATGTCAGATGTGATATGGCACAACAAACTGTCAAGTTTATAAACAATAATTTTACTGTTGTGAGATCCAGGGTGCATATCAGTGAACAAGTACTACAGGTAATTTCACACATAGATTGCAATAGCATTTTTCCTTACTGTGCTATCAGCACATAGCAGGATATTGAGGGAGAATTTAGGGATTGGAACCATTTTATCCAATATAATCAGTCAGGGGACTTACTTAAATGAGTGATTTTCTAAATCACTGATTCAAGTAACATTATGTCCATAAAGGTTGGAAGTAAGAGTTGTCTTTCTTTAGTAATCACCTATTTAAGTAGTACAAATTAATCACTAGACTAAGTGATTTAATTTTATTGTAGCTTTTAATATAGAATACTAATGATCCAGGGACTAATTATGTTGCTAAAATTATCAGAACCAACATTTGTGTTGATAGGATGACCGGGTCATGTCAGGTGATGACCTTGTACTAAATCTAGGATAATGACATAAAAATCACTTGTTTAAGTATCATACCTCAATTTCCTTCCAAAAAATCACTTCTTTAAGTATCATTATTTTAATAACCCCCACTAATTTCAACACCCCCGAACAGTGAAATTTTGATCGCGAACAGTAGAATTTTATTACATAATCTATAAGATGAAACCTTGAATTTTACAGGAAAAATACTCCCACTGCTGGGAAAAATCTGTCAAGAAAGTATCAGTTCATTATGTAAAGCCATTTTTATAGCATTTTTTCAAATAAAATAGAATTTGCAGCTAAATGATTGCATCAAAGGTATAAACCTTGCTGCTTAAAAGAAGCAAATTTTTTTTTTTTTTTCAATTTTACTAATGAAAAAATATTATCTAAACCTATGTGTTTAAAATTTTGGTAAAACTACAAAATCACAATTTGTGACAAAACTTCGAATTTGCTACTTAAATTAGTGATTTAAAAATCACTTATTTCAATAAGTCCCCTGACTGATAATTAAAATTAGTTCTCCCAACTTGCTCCTCATTTTCGTTCAGTTGTTTATATAAACAAATGAAAGAAAATGAGGAGAAATGCAACCAACTGAATAAAAATAAGGAGCAAGTGAGGAGAACTAGATTGCATTTTATCCCCTATTCTTTGAAATTATATTTAAAAGCATAAAATTAACCAAAATTATGCTGGAACAACTCTTTTCTTCAAATTCCCAACCTTTAAAAAACAGTTCTTGATCCAGATCTGCAGCATTAACACAGTTGGAAATCTAATGATCCATACTGTTTGTAATACTATGCCCCTGTGTACAATGACAAAAAATAAATATATAACAGAAATACAGGATACAATAACAAAGGTCTTTTATGTTGAAGTTCTTGAACACATAATAATGATCCTGCACTGTATGCTGCCCACATTACACCAAGAAGCTGAAATTATAAAATATACACATCACAAGCGGAAGATTCAGAGAGGGCAGGGTTGCAAAATTATTTATTTTGAGGCTTATCTAAAGTAGAACCTATTGAATTCTATTTTTTTATGTGTTCTAGCTATTACGTTTACCTCAGTCAGCTATGAAATGTAAAACATCATAGTTCTTTAACAGTCAGTAAATAACACTGCTGTATATATACTACACAAAATTAATATTTGTATTACTTATAGAAGATTATTGGCAAACTATATAGACTGGATCAAGGGTAAATATGGTACTATGGTGATCAGAGGCAAAGCAGATATTTTGAGGCATGGTGACTTATACCTACTTTTATAAGAATTCCAACATAGTACATAGAACGGAACAAAGGTAAAGCTGATGCTGTGATGACCAAAGGTAATACTGAGTAACCAATCACACCAAGGCACTGGGAATATGATACCTGAAATAAACCATCATCTGTTATAATAAAGTGTGGATACACACAAATATCTTGCCAGTATATTAGATGTGAATACTACTGGCAATGATGAAAAGGTTAAAAAGTGTACATCTTATAGCCTACACTAGTTACATGCACTATGGATTTTGTCATTTTCACCAATCTATGGTGGGAGTCGGCAGATTAGTGGACAAAACTTGTAGGTGTGAACTACTGTAAACCAACTTATTTTCGCGGATACTTTATTTTGCGTTTCACCCTTTCTAACACACTTAGCGGCAATTAAAGTTCGCGATTCTCAAATATTCTTGATGTAGTTGAATAAGGAAAGATCCAAAGTTTTACATATTCGCGACGATTTATATTCACGTTATTTTTCTACTCGCGAAAGTAGCAAAAATAATTCGCTCGCGAAAATTAGTTGGTTTACAGTATGTAGTGAACTTGTCATTTCATTTTAAGACTGGCACATACAATATCTTTGAGTTAGGTTTTTTTATTTACATGTATTCAATTTTAACAAAATCTGAAATCTAATTTGAGTGAATAGGAATGGCTATCCACATTTGAAGGTTCAAACTCTTTACAAATTGGGATTTTCAGTCATAACCAACTTTGTTTACGTTTTAACAGTGTTCCTATAGAATTTTATTTATGATCTAAGAAGAAGAGTTTGTCAACAAGACGAAAGATCTCGTAGTTTTGGTGACTGCATACGGGACAATATCAGTGAATTAGTGTACAGGAAGACAATAATTCAATAGCAGTACATTTATGAAGATTTTGATAATATAAAGGATTTTCTTTTACAATACTTGTTTTATCATTAAACTTAGCCATTCAGGTATGTAAAACATATTCAACTTCTTTTTTAAATTTGAAGTTTCATACGACTTTAACATTTCTGCAAATAGATTTTTTCCGTCAATGGATATATAAAAAAGAAGATGTGGTATGATTGCCAACGAGACAACTTTCCACAAGAGACCAAATGACACAGAAATTATCAACTATAGGTCACCGTACGGCCTTCAACAATGAGCAAAGCCCATACCGCACAGTCAGCTATAAAAGGCCCTGAAATGACAATGTAAAACAATTCAAACGAGAAAACTAAATAGTTCATTTTTCCTTAGTAAAACCAATTAACATTTGTAAAAAAATGATTTGTTTGGTATTCAGAAAACCTGAAAAAAAGTGTCAAAACTGTTACGTTCTTTCTATCTATTGAGGCATATCTGTCTATCCTTAATCTTACCTCTCCACCAAGAGCTCTTGCTAACAGGAAGATAATTAATGATCCAAATATCCATATAGTTATAATCCATGATATAACCTGAAAAATAAATAAACATTCTAATGGCAGATCTTTAATAGATTTAAGAAATAATTCATGGGGGCTTGAATTTATCGTGATTTTACCACCGGTTAGCCCTTTATGCTTAATATTTTACCACGAGCAACGAGTGACATGAATTATTCTATTCTAATAGGACAAAGACAGCAATTCTTTTGGATCGAAGCAATCTATGTAAAGGAAATTTTTGCTGTTCCTGTAATTGAACACACTTTTAATATTGACGTAAACGACGAAGAAAATTGAATAAGTGAAATTCTTAAAAGATATACAATAACATACAAAGACAGATTTGAATGAATTTAATTGATCATCTTACTTTCATTTATTAAGAAGATATGGACATATACAAATTCATACCATTGTTTGTTTATGTTTTGACAACTTTCAGTTTCCCATTTGTGCATTTCCCTTTAAATCCTTACATTCTTACGACATCGTACAATGACATCATTTACACCATATGACGTGAGATAAATCATTCATAAAAAGCATACAATGTGGTAGTAGGATTGGAACATCCAGAGGCATAGAGTCCCATTATTTTTAATGATAAAATATAGAAGATATAAGTACAGGAATATTACAATATTCTCTGACATGTTTTTACCATATAATACCAAATAGATGTATAGTCCTTTGGGAAAAGTTTCTGCAAATGAAATAAATATGTGCTCATTTGTATCTCTTGAAAAGTACCCTTCATAAAAGGGATAGTCATTACATTGAGAGGTTACCCCCTCATTTGAGGGGTTGTTCCCAAGCTGAGAAATATGAACAGGACTTTAAATGGCTAATCATCACAGAAGAAGGATATTACTGTTCTGTGTGCCAAAAATACAGCACTAAAGCTAAGAACAGGACAGAAACTTGGATCAATAATTCATGCATTTGCAGACTTCGCAGGAGGAGGGAGTCCTGCATAAGCCATCTGCTATCCGAGATGTGCAAAACTAATTTGTCAAATGAAAGGTTTAGGCAGTGATAGCAGAAGAACGATTCAATTCCATTAAATGTGAATATAATACTAATCATTCTTTTTGTGACCCCCACCCACAGTGAAAAAAAAGCGGTTGAAAATGTAAAAAAAAAAAAAAAACCAACACCCGGTTGAAAGATATTTTTTCAAAACACCCACCTTATCTTAGTGGAAAATGGTTAACACTGGCAAACTTAAGTTAGAGAACGGAAACTAAAAATTCAAACTTGATCTGTGTTTTGTGGTAATAAGCATTGTGTATAAGTTTCATTACTTTTGGTTGAGGCAAACTCAAGTTAGAGAATGGAAACCAATTTTGGGACGTACGTTCGTATGTACGTAGGTATGTACAGACGGACGAGGGTAAAACTTAATGCCCCCACCGCTACGGCGGGGGCATAAAAACACACTGGAGTTTTCCTCGTCATGTTACATATGACAGGTGCCATTTGTGGAGCTGGAACTGCCTACTCATTATTCAATTAGTTCACTTACCAGTTTTGTTCTATTTCATCGTTATATTGTTTGTGTGTAGGGTTTTGTGGATCGTTGTTTGTTTTCCTTTTTGGCCATTTTGTTTTTTGTGACAAGTTTTTTCTTCTTTGACTTATAACTAAGACTGATTGCCAGCTTGGTATCTGTTTTTTTTTCACTAAAGTTATCTAATTCTAAGTTTCATGATGGTCATGCAGTTTAAATAAACTCATCATAGATACCAGGACTAAATTTTGTATATACGCCAGACGCGCGTTTCGTCTACAAGACTCATCAGTGATGCTCGAATCCAAAAAAGTTAAAAAGGCTAAATAAAGTACGATGTTGAAGAGCATCAAGGACCAAAATTTCTAAAAGTTTTGCCAAATACAGCTAAGGTTATCTATTCCTGAGGTAGAAAAGCCTTTGTATTTCAAACATTCAAAAGTTTTGTAAACAGTTAATTTATAAATATGACCATATCAATGATAATTCATGTCAGCACAAAAGTGCTGACTACTGGGCTGGTGATACCCTCGGGGAATTAAAACTCCACCAGCAGTGGCATCGACCCAGTGTTTGTAAATAAACTCATCATAGATACCAGGACTAAATTTTGTATATACGCCAGATGCACGTTTTGTCTTCAAAAGACTCGTCAGTGACGCTCGAAAGAAGAATTACAGCATTTGTTGAAAGGCCTCAACAGTTTTTTTTTTTTTTTATAAAATTCATTGATGATTCCCACATGTTCCTTGAAAATTTGTAGTGGTTTTTGAGCATAGTCCTTGAAGGATCTCCAGTAACTCTCAAGATGATGAACCACAATAAAAAAAAAAACGTTCACTTAATGTATCAATATTTTCCAGAATGGTGCTCATAACATTCAACCCATAACATTTTTTTTCTGACACACATTCATGTTACAAGAAAGAATTACAAATCTGAATAAAGAGCTGCGCCATGAGCGCATAATATGTCTGTCAACCTTTTTAGTGGGTTTTTGAGTTATTGCCTGAAAACTGGAAAATCCAAACTTTTTTATGAATAAAGTCCCAATACTCCAAAACGTAAAGTTAGAAATTTTTAAAAATCGAAAAGGGATCTCATGTCAATATATTTAAACAATTCACCAAAGTTTCATGAATATTGCTTATAGTCAGAAAACAGGAAAATCTCCCTTTTTTTATGAATAAATTCCCATAACTCCAAACTAAAAATCTAAAATTTATAAAAATCGAAAGGGAGCTTTGAGTTTTGAGTTATTGCCCAAAGTGTTGATGACAGACGGACAGACAATGGTTTTTCCATAATAAGTGCTGTAAACGGGTGTATAAAAAGTATTTGTTCAGTTAAAACAGACAATTTGATTTAATCTTTCCAAATTCAATGTTGTATATTGAAATTAACCCAAAACAATTTATAACATGTACACATTTTAGTGATGATATAAAGCAACAATGAAGTACCAGTAGTCGAAGTCAAACCATGTTTTTATTAACATTGTAGATGTGAACCCAATAATAAAATCACTTTGCATTATTTCATAATTTAATAGCTGATAAGCTTTTTAAAGAACCTCTTCAGTGTTCTGAGTTCATTATTGTTTATAGGATGCACTTTATGAGACTTTTGGTTCTTTTTTTCTAAATTATAAACTTACTCTGAACTGTCCATATAATGATACAAGAGAATATAACAATATAACCACAAGAGGTCCCCAGAAATCTGGACTCTCTCTGACCACATGTCTGTTGAATCCTAGTTGTGGTAATGGAAACAAAACACACCTCAGTTTGTAGTAAATGTCCTTCAAGTCAATGTCAAGTTCTTCTCTGTAAAACGAATCAAACAGTTAATGACTCCCTAAAGCTTGGAAGCTATGTGTTTTTGTGTGTCTATCCTTATTCAAGATTATCATTTTAAGTTTTCATGGTGTAGTCTACATAAAAAGAAATGTAGGGTAAATGAAGACAGCAAGCGAACAGGAAAACTAAAGAAAAACATGCAATTTTACCCAGCTACATATTTATGACAAGTTTATGACCCAAAGCTAATCAACGGGCACAACCGATGTAATAATTTGTTGTTACAGGTAATCAACGGGCACAACCGGTGTAATAATTTGTTGTTACAAAAAATCTGCTTATATGTCAGGTCATAATGATCCTCAAAATTAATCAATTTGTAGAATCTGTTTGTTGGCATTTTAATTTTAATAAATTTATCATACTGTCACAATTTCCAAAGTTTACCATAGTTTCACTGAAAGGCAAATTGTAATGAAGTCATTATGAAACATTGCTTATCTTGAAATCAGTTAAAACAAAGGCCTTGTAATATAATCCTTCCAAAAAGTGGTATTTTTTTCGCAACCTGTAACTTGAAAACGAAGCTAGGTGTCTTAGAATGACTATTGTATTGTAAAAATTGCATGATGCAAAATATATTTTGGCAAATTATGACTAAATGCTGTCTGTTTGGTTTATTACTCAAATACTACCTTATAGAATCACAACTCTGGATTAACTATTTTGAAAATACTCAAAAATGCAGGTAATTGTAAAAATTTTACAGGAATTAGTGAATTGCCTAGATTTTTATGATAAAAGTCACAAGAACCTTCTAAGATACCTTATCTAAAATCATCAAAATATATTTGATAATTTGATTTTTTATAGTGCCAATTTTTTAGAAGAACTTATTTGATGAACCTGTCTAAGTAGGAGCAGGTATACATGTACACATTTTTATTCATTTATATAATTAGAACATACAAAAGTGGTTTCAGATCATCTTCATCCACATCATCATCTTCTTCTAAAAGCCAACCAAATCCTCTGTTTTCTAGAAATGCTGATGCTGGGCCTCTTTTTCTGACACCATAAATATCTTGTGATGGAGTAGTTTCTGTAGGTTCTATAGAACCCTCTATTTCTGCTGTGCCTGCAATAGTAAATGTGTAAAATAAGCTATACTGTACGAGTACATATATAGGATACAGGTAAACAGTCTTACACTTAAATTGCAAATCTGTCTCAAAATTTGAAGATTTAGGCAAAGAACTAGACCGATTGTGTACTGTTATTGTACAATCCAAGATGGCAGTATACAGTGAATCTACCTTAATATTTTTATTCTGTACATTCATTGACATATATAACATGCATAAAACAATATAGATGTCAAATACAATTTGCATCAAAAACAGGACGTATTCTTCTCTATACTATTGCCGATTAAAAGTGCTTGTATGTCATTGCTTTTATTCAAGAAAATTTTTATTTAACAGATACTTTTCTTTAACATAAAAAAAACCTCAAAACTTTCTTCTCTAATAAAAACATAAATTTGAATACATGTCAAAACAAGCATTCTGAGAGTATTGCATTGCAATACATAGTCCCCTACCGGGTAAAAATTCATTATACTGGAACAAAATGCTAACTTGTTCTATAACTTGTCATGGTGTAAACAAAAAGAAAATATCATGTCAATATCTTCAAGGATGACTAAAAACAGTGTGGAAAACTGAATATATGAGTGAATTTTTTCAAGTCCAAGGACCATAACTCTGCATAAAATTATCAGACCGAAACAAAAATTTGAACTTAATCTGTAACTTGTCATGATAAAACAATATACCAATTGTCAACCAATATCTTCAAGCATGATGAAAAAAAGTGTGGAAAACCTATAACATTCTAACATTAGTTATGATTAATAGTTCGCTAAAATTAGATATGATGTAATATAATGTATATCTATTTTCAAATTACAATCAAATATAATTAATAGTTCCAAATATTTTTTCTTTCATTTGTCACAAACTAATATAGATTTGTAATTTATCTATAAAATGTCAACAACTTTTATCTACACAATGTTATTTAATGAAATATATACCTTAATAAAAATAGATTATTATCTAATTAAAGGATTTCCATGACTTAATAAAAAAAATATATATATATATACATGTAGCATTCAGAAAATTAGTTCATACAAAATAACATATAAACCTGCCACAAAATTCCTCAAACAATTTACCAAAGAATGTCTTTTAAAAAATGAGTTATCTCCCTTTGTACAGATATATGTTTAACATAGTACTCTAAAATTAGTTATGGAGTTTTTTTATGGACCATTACTCTGGACTAAATCATCAGACCGGAACAAAATTCGAACTTGATCTATAACTTGTCATGATAAAACTATATACCAAATATCAAATCAATATCTTCAAGAACGAAGAAAAAAGTGTGGAAAACTGAGTTGCCGGACTGACGGATGGACAGACAGACAGACAGACAGAGTGCAAACCTAAAGTCCCCTTTGACTTTGTCGGTAGGGGACTAAAAAGCATACTACTTTGTGACATGTTTTTTTGCCAGCTTGCATTGTGTGTTTAATACACAAGAATCCCTTGTCAACACCACAGAATAGCAATAGGGAAAACTTCATCTTGCCCCCTTTGTCGTGTTTGAGGAGTTTTTTCATAATTAATCCTTTTGGTCTCATTTACAGCAGCTTAGACATCTATAGCCAACATAAAATTGAGAATGGAAAGGGGAATGTGTCAAAGTGACAACAACCCGACCAAAGAGCAGAAAACAGCCCAAGGCCACCAATGGCTCTTCAACACAGCGAAAGGCATGCTTTAGCTGGTCCCTAGATAAAAATGTATACTAGTTCAACGTCACACTAAATTCCCAAACATATAAATGTACCAAAATTAAAAAAACATACAAGACCAACATTATTTATCTCTGTTCCACCGCCAAAATTGTGAAGAAATAATTTTGAGTCGCAGTGTCTTCGCTTATTAACATTTAATATTTCGTTTAGCAGATTTTGTTGTTGTTGATGAAATGCTTGACACTTATCAAAACAACCCCACTTGCAAGGGCATGCTGATCCGGCAGTAGAAATGTATTCTAAAATCGGCTAACAGGATCAGCCTCAAAACATTTTTTTACAGTTGCCAGGTTAAAAAAATTTATGTTTGACAATTGGCCACCAACAGTGAAATTTAGGTCTCCTGTGGACTTTTTAGGTTGCCCAGGCAACTGTTTCAGAAGTCTTAATTAAGGGCTGTAATATCACAGATCTCGTATTATAGATGTTTTTGGGGCGGAAATATGAAACTAGAAGAATTCTAGTCAAATCGGCACCTGGTTAAATCGGCACCTGGTCAAATCGGTACCCGGTATAGTCAAATTGGCGCCTAGTAAATTTGGCAACTGGTTAAATCGGCACCCGATGAAGTCATTTCGGCACCCATGTTAGATATGTTTAATATACGTTTTTTTTCAGTATTTTAAGCAAAAAGATTAAAATAAAGAAGGGGTTAAACAAGTATTGACTTATTTACATTTTTAGGGGATTTCTGTATGTATTTTTTTTTTGTCAACTTAATGTGTATTCAAGGTTTGGATATTTTTTATGCATGTTTTAACTAGTTGAGCATTTTGCATGATTGTTGGTTTAATGCTGTTTAAAGTTTCCTGAAAAACCACCTTAATTGCTAATTATTTTGATGCAAGTTTGATTAGTGATAGTAATGAAAGGAACTCATAGTTTTCCCTTTTATTGCATCTAATTTTCTCATAACTAAACAACAGCTTGGGTAATGGCTTCATTGTTTATTAAGTTTTTGAAGAAAAAACAGCAATAACTACCTGTATATAGTTAAAACAACAAACATGTTAATTATGTAATTGATAAAGGTTATTAATTAATTAATTGAAAAGAAAACTAATCAAAACATCAGTCATAGAATGTTGAGAAAACTTTAAACAATAAATTTTTTTATTTATTTTTAAAGATGTAATGAATGATAAAATCCAACCCCAAAAATAATCATAAATAGAAAGATCATTTATACATTTTTAGAATTATTTATATATATATATTATATCAAATATTATTGGATGCCGAATTGACTTTAAATAGGTGCCGATTTGACTAAATGCCGATTTCACCAGGTGCCAATTTGACTTTTTCTATGGGTGCCGATTTAACCAGGTGCCGATTTGACTTGTACCCCGGAAATATATGCCAGTCGACTGGTATGCATTCTACATTGTGTTTATGAAGAATGCATATCAGTCGACTGTCGACTGGCATATATTCCCCCCCTCCCCAACAAAAACCCAAAACATCTATGATACGAGCCCCTGTGTTTAGATCGACAAACATTTCCATGATTCATTAAATTTGTGAAACTTTATATATTATATGTGAACAAATATTTCACTATGTATTGCTTGTACAATGATTATTTCTGATAGTATCAGAATCTCCAGAGACAAGATTAACTGAAAAATTATGTGACAATGTGTTCTAAACCACTTTTCTCAATATTTGAATCATTTATAAATAGGTAAAAAAAAAAAAAAAAAAAATCTTGTATATAAACATTTTGATGGGGGACATTAAACAATTACCGCCAGTTTTGGATGAATGTACAAATTGAAATTCTTCAGATGAACTTTGACTCCCTTGATTTGGTGTGTAAGTGTAAGAATTTTCCATATCGACGGAATAATTTTCGGCACTCGAAAAATTTCCCCCACTGGCGGCCATGTTAGATTTAAATATTCAGTTTCGTACTTGACACGTCAAAATAAAGAATTTTGTTTCAAATATTGTAAACAGCTAGTAAATTTATTAAAATAATCTTATTTTTCGATTTCTTTCGGGTGAAAACATGTTGTTCCTGACTAATTAACACCTCATTTTATACGAAAATAAGATTATAAATACAGCGGGAATCATGAAATTGAAATGAAAATCCAAATAAGATTTTTCTAAAAATAACTCACTTGTCAACAGTTATTCTACTTTAATTTTAAGCAGGTTAATCAGGGTATTATATTATAATCTTTACACTTTGTTTGCGGCATTCAAACTAGCAGGTCATGCTTCTTTTTTGTACAAAAAGGGGGAGATCTAAGTCATTGGCCATTCCCTTGTTACCTTGTCAAAGACACCCCATAGAAAAATTTTCAGGCAAATTTCAATCCCTCAGATGCTCAGGTTAAACCCCTCAGATGCCAAATTGTATAATGCATAATTTGTGACGTTACAATTTCCATTGAAAAAGCATGCATAGTACAAATATTCATATGACGTACGAAAACATATCACTACAAACCAGTAAAGTCTGAAATGGCCTATATCTGTACTCGACTGTACTGATTTTTACTCTACCAGTCTGAATTGGTCTGAATTTTACTCGACATTACTCGACCCCAGTCTTAACCATACTCGACCGTACTGATTTGTACTTGACCCTTATCTTTGCCATTGAAAATAGTCTGAACTATTACTCGACCAGTCTGAAACAGTCTTAACCCATTCTCGACCTGTACTCCACCAATTTTTTCAGTCTAAACCATACTCGACCAAAGGTCTGAACAATACTCGACCAGTCTGAACCATACTTGACCAAAAAACCTATATTTTTTTTAAATGTTAGCTGTTAAAATTAATTTCTTTTTTTCTGACAATGAAAACAGCCACAATAAAATAAAGATATATATAAAAATATATTTTTACATCCTTACATGATTCTCAGATTTATCAAATAGAGATAGTTAAATTAAATTATCTTATATAATAATTTAATTATATTAATTTTAAAGTTTTAGAGTTTTGTTAAACAAAAAATTTTCTTTTAACTAAAAACCACACCTTTACTGAGAGTAATAAAACCTTAATAAGGTGCTTCTTGTTTGGCATGTGTGTTTTTTTTTTTAAACTTAATTTTCCTAAATTCCTAAAGAAAAACTATATAGTGGTTTCATGGTTATATACAATAGTTATATAATTATCTTTTTAATGAGGTAACAACAGCCAAAAAATCACTGAAATTGTTTAACCTTATATTAGAAATATATCCATTTTTGTTATAATTTGGGATATATTATATATAATATATATCAAAAGGGGATAAAAAAATTAAAGAAATAGATAAATTTTTTCTTCTGATTTATAAAGTAATACCTCCTGCTTGGGGCAAACTCATTAAAAGATCACACCTGGTCAGAGAGTATTAATTTCTAATTAACATTCATTAAAAATTGCAACATCCTGTAAAACTTAAATCGCAAGGCCTTTTGAATTCACTAGATAAGTAATACACGAGTTTAAGAAAAAAAGGGCTTTCTTTTTACCTGTAAAACACACATGTACTGAGATAAATAAACCTTATTAAAGTGCTTCTTGTATGCCATGTCTTTAATTTTGACAAAAGTTATTTAAATTTAATTGAAATAAATTTTTTCTGCAGCTTTGGAACACATTTCCTTTTTTAAATGGTTATCAAGGATTGCTATGGAAGTTCTATTATCATGATTATCTTAAATTCTTGGTTTTACAAAACAAAGGTGTTATTTTTAAAATTTATTAAGTTGCTTTATATACTATTTTAAATATATTTTAATAAAAAAAATGTTCACTGCATTATTAACTAAACTCAACTGACACCATAAATCTATACAAGGCTTAAGCAGTCAGGGGTACTACTTAAACAAGTGATTTCAGAATCACTTCCTCGAGGGATTTTGGCTGTGAAATATTAAAAATTTTCACACAGACTTTTTAAAATCACTGAAACAAGTAATTTTAGAAGTTAAATTGTAATCACTTTAATAAGTGTTTATAACATTTTCTTGATATTTTTCCCACAAGCTTGATTTTTTTATTGGTAAAAAGACAACAATTCCATTGAAAAAACAACTATGTACATGCAGAAATTTTCTTTTGCTTGATAAGCCTGACACTTTTACAGTTTTTTTAAAATATGCAAAAACTGGAATAGTTTGTAGATCAGGTCATAACCTTGAAGTAGATCATTCTAACTTTAAAGAAAACCAATCAGGTTACCTAATATTGTTGATCTTTGTCTTATAGTAAAAGTAGTTAATGAATATTTGATTACAGAAAAATTCCCAAGGGTACTTTTAAAAGCTTTAGCGCACTAACTTACTGCCCAAGCGCACTGGTGAAATTAATATACAAAGAAAAAGGGATAATTGATTTATGTAGGAAAATTATAGAAAAGATTGTGAAAATATGGAAAATCAATGAAATTAGCATTTGAAGATCAAAGAAAACACTAAAATCACTTAAATAGGTGATAACTGAATTTATCAAATCACTGAAATAAGTGATGATGAAATCACTTGTTTAAGTAGCACCCCTGACTGTTAAGTAAATGGTGAAAATTGTCCAGTAACCATAAAATATATCTGAAACATTCAAAAAAATTTGAATAACATTGAAAATGTTAGTCCCAATTCGGTTTGAGATTATTTGATCAGTTTGTTTTATTTTTATTTTAAAGGTGATATATATATGTAAGTGTTGATAAATATGGTGTTGAATTTATATTATGTTTATTGTGAAATTTTGGTTTCAATATGCCATATTGAATACATTTTGAATTTCAAATTGTTGTTCAAATTTCTAGCCAGGGGAAATAGCTGTTAAAAACAGTTCCTAAATTGATGAAATACAATAGATAGATACAAAAATTAGGTCTAGGTTGGTTAAGACTTAGTCGAGTATGGTTCAGACTAGGTCGAGTATGGTTCAGACTAGGTCGAGTATGGTTCAGACTAGGTCGAGTATGGTTCACTCATATAAAATGGTTAAGTACTGGTCGAGTACAAGTTCAGACTGTTAAGTATGGTTCAGACTACAGTCGAGTATTATCAAGTAAATTTCAGACCAATTCAGACTGGTCGAGTAAAAATCAGTACAGTCGAGTACAAATATAGGCCATTTCAGACTTTTACTGGTTTGTAGTGTATGATCTGAAGATATGAACCAATTTTGTGCCATATAGTTATATGAATCGGTACCCCTTAGAAATGACTTGATACCCCTCAGAAGAAACCATCAACCCCCCTTTTAAGATATGGAATTAAATGGTCCATTGCTATATATTAAGTTTTATATTTCCAGTTGGTCTTTTCACCACCAAACACCACCGCACACTGCCGAACACCACCGAACACCCCAAAAATTTATATTTTTTGAACTCTTATTGTTATAAATGTGACCTAAATATAATATTTAAGTTATTAATATTCAACAAATAATAAGGTTAAGAGAACAAATATCTACATCGAACAGAAAAGGAGAGTCTATAACACTACAACTCAGCAAACCACCACTGGACACCTCAAATAATTTTTTTTCTTCATTTTTTTTCTTCTTTTATAAAATAGTTGTACAAATAACAAGAAAAGAGACATGAACAAATGTTAAATATTTCAGGTAACTAATATCCTTCATCAGTAATTGATGTCAAATGATTCTTATACACACACAATGTAATCCGGAAAAATAGTGATGAATCAGGAGACGTTTTTCTTTATATGGATTATATTAATAATCTACTTTAACAGAAAAATGATGCATATAAACATCTAAAAAATTGTTAAATTAGACGTAATTTAATTGATTTTACCGTTTTATTGTATAAAATCACTGATTTTCTCAGTGGTTGATGGGTTTTTTGGGTGTTCGGCGTTTTCGGTGGTGTTCGGTGGTGAAAAGACTCTCCCTTATATTTCAGCGGGTAGAAGACCTGGGGCTTTATAGAAGTTGTATACAGAATCCTTATGTTATGAAGTTAACTTGCTTTCATATGTCTATGTCCTTGACCTCATTTTCACGGTTTAGGGACTGCTTAAAAAATTATAGTTTTATCGTGTGATTTTCTTACTTATTATTATAAGTAATAGGATAACTATATTTGGTTTATGGTTTACTTGCAAGGTCTTCATTATAAATATAAGGAGATGTGGCATGACAGTCATCATTGCCAATGAGACAACCATCCATCAAAGTTCAAATAAAGTGGATGACATTGTCTGTCGGACAGGTTTTACTTGACCTTGACCTCATTTCATGGTTCATTGATGAAGTTACAGTAACATTATTAGGGCTGTTTCTCAGATTCTTATAATATTAAGTTTTTGGGTTTTTTGGTCTGTCAAATACTATATTCAAAAGGTCAAGAATATTTGGTAGCAAGTCATTTTGTACCTTGACCATTTCTTACTTCTGCCATTTCGTACCCAAAATTACCATTTCGTATTCACTATTTCGTGTCATATATTTGTAAAAGTTCTCATTTTTTTAAAATATATCGATATAAAACATTTTGAGATGATTTTAATTTTTTTATATTATATTACATGAATAAAGTGCATACTTATACATCCCGTCATTGTGGTATTGTGCTATGGTAAATTTTTGTATTCTTGTCTTTCGCTTTTGCTTATGTGCTTTGTCTATATGCCTTTTTGGGTTTTTTTTATTGACATACATGTATTTGTTTGTTTTAATAGTGATTAAGATTATAACACAATGTTGACTGCTGTACCCCTATTTTTGAATTTTTTACCTATTAAGTCTGTTTGTTTTGTTCACACATTGTTGTCAATATAATGGAATTTTATGCGACTGTCATACAAGTGAGAGGTTTAGCGAGCTATAAAACCAGGTTTAATCCACCATTTTCTTCATAAGAAAATGCCTGTACCAAGTCAGGAATATTCATGACAGTTGTTATCCATTCGTTTGATGTGTTTGAGCTTTTGATTTTGCCATTTGATTAGTGACTTTCCGTTTTGAATTTTCCTCAGAGTTTAAAAAACATATAAACTTCCATGAGGTACGAAATGGTATGCATTTAAATTTTCCATGAGGTACGAAATGGTATACATATAAGTTATCCATGAGGTATGAAATGGTCAAGGTACGAAATGGTCAGGGTATGAAATGGTTTTTGCCAGGGTATGAAATGGGGGGTACAAAATGGTTAGGGTACGAAATGACTATAATTCGTATATTTAGTGTATTGAATGAATGTGCAAAGTAAAGTCTGTCTGGCGAGTATCATTGACCTCATTTTAATGGTTCATTGGTCAGTGTTTAGTTCAGAAGCTTGGTCCTCTTTTAAGATACTATAAGCAATAGGTCAACTGTATTTGGTGTATGAAAGGATTGTAAGGTGTACATGTCTGTCTGGCAGGGTTCATCTGACCTTGACCTCATTTTCATGGTACATTGGTCATTGCAAGTTTTCTGTTTCTTAGGTACTATAAGCAATAGGTCAACAATATTTGGTGCATTGAAGATTGTAAGATTTACATGTCTGTCTGGCAAATATTGTCTGACCTTGTCTTCATTTTCATGGTTCATTGGTATATTTACGCTTTCATGGTTTGGTCTGTTTCTTGTATACTTTAAGCAATAGATCAACTATATTTGGTGTATGGAATGATTGCAATATGTACATAAATTTGAGAATGGAAACGGAATGTGTCAAAGAGACAACAACCCGACCAAAGAGCAGAAAAAGCCCAAGGCCACCAATGGGTCTTCAACACAGCGAGAAAATCCCGCACCAGGCAGGGTTTGACACTAACTAAATATATGTACTAGCCTGCAGGGCTAGTGAATTTATTATTCTACTAGTCCTCTTGTCAATTCACTAGCCCTCCAAGTGACGAAGGCACTTGGATGGTCGTGCCACCGGCACGACCCTATCTAGGAGGGTATGGGGGCATGCCCCCCAGAAAATTTTGATACAAATGAAGCTAAATCCTGTGTTCTGGAGCATTTCCAGAGGGTTTTGAACATGTTTTGTTTCATGAAATTTCACTGGTTTGCTAATAAGAAATACAAAAAAAAAAAAAAAAAAAAATCATATTTTAATCATCTATATTAAGAATGTGTTCGACTTATTTTGAAGACCCCTTTAGATCATTACTTCATCATCATCCTCATTTTACTTATCATTATTACTAGTGTTTTTAATGAAGATGGATAAGTTAAGGATTTAAAATGCACCCACAAAAGAGGAAAGGTTTGCCCTTGCTGTTTTTGTCATAATTCTTCATGTACTCCTTCTTTTCCCTTGTTGTTTCAGTTATTTTTTTTTTGCAGGACAAGATTTTATTCCTAAAAATCTGTATATTTTTTACCAGAGACCAAGGAATTGTATAGTATACAAATCCTTGCAGAGACCTATAATTTTGTTTTTATGACAATAATTCAATGATATTGTTTGCCTCAAATTACATTCGAAATACAGTTTTTTCCCCTAGAGAAAATTCCCAATTACTAAAAAAAATGGCTTAAAATTCCTCCCAATAAGTTGTACATTTTCCCCAAACAGTGATGTTATCGGTAGTAATGTATGTAAATTTCGTATTCATGTTATTATTTTGATATTATGAAAGCACTTTTGAGATCCAGGTTTCTGATTAGAATCATCACGGCGTTTGTAACACACGTGGTTTTCAATGTATTAAGTACCATCATTGTTTCCCTTTCTTTCCCCTCCCCAAAAAGTACCTTTCATGTTAAAAATGTCTGACAATCATATTAACGTGAATAAACTGTACAATAAAGACAGCAAAGGTCAGCAACAAATCCCAGAGCAACAAATTGAAAATTAGAATTTTGTGAAATTCCTAGTTTTAAACAAAATTTTGACTAGCCCGTCGGACTACTGTGATGGAAACTTTACTAGCCCTCCCTAATTTTTACTAGCCTCGGGCTAGCGGACTAGCGTTAGTGTCGAACCCTGCCAGGAGGCAGGCTTCAGCTAGCCCCTAAACAATAATGTGTACTAGTTCAGCGAAAATGGACGTCACACTAAACTCTGAAACATATTAACAAACTAAAATTAAAAAACATACAATACTACCAAAGGCCAGAGGTTCCTGACTTGTGACAGGCGCAAAAATGGGGCAGGGTTAAACATGTTTTGTGAGATCTCAACCCTCCCCCTATACCTCTAGCCAATGTAGGATAAACAAACACACAGCAATACGCACAGTAAAATTCAGTTTTAAAAGAAGTCTGAGTCTGATGTTAGAATAGGTAACAGAAGAAACAAAGCAAAATGACAATAATCAACATAAATTAACAAAGGACTACTAGCAGTTACTGACATGCCAGTTCCAGACCTCAAATAAACTGATTGAAAGATTATGTCTTCATCATATGAAAATCAAGTAAAAATGTCTGTCTGTCTGTCTTAGTTTATTTGAACTTGACCTCATTGTCATGGATCATTGATAATGTTGAATTTATTTGATACTTGTAGACAATTTTTGTCTTCAAGACTATCAATACAAAATCAATCCTGCTCAGTAAAGCAGGTAAGACCTTTCAACGTGTGCACTCTTGTTATATACATAAATAATTATATTTTTTGCACCTTTTGACAAGGAATTTTATTAGTAACAATGACTGAAATCTCTGGGTATCCCACCTATCATTAGATCTTTATTTATGATTCAACAACTTTTGTATACATCTAATTGTCACAGAATAGAAGTTCCTTCATAATATAAGTTCCAAATTGAAACAATATTCTGGAATATTATTTCCACTGGAATAAATATTACAGTAAATGTTCCTAACAGAATAAATATATCAGTAAATGTTCCTAAGGGCTATTCCAGAAAAAAATGTATGGGGGGGTTGGAAGGCACTTTTTTTTAATGCCCATGACCCATACAATTTGATTTTTTTGGCGACCCATAACCCAAACAATTAAATAGAGGTTTGATACCACCACCCATCTAATTCAAACAAAAAATAAAGAAAGTCAATACAGCAGTGTAAGAAATTGATATGGTCTACTTAAAAACTAGTATATTTTTTAAGTATGTATGTCTTAATGACTTTCAACACAACCATTGTAGAATTAGGATACTAAGGCTGAAAAATTTCAATCTTCAGATCTCCTTTTGTTCTTTTATATAATCTATATCAAAATATAAAGGGTAGATTCCAACTGTGGTATGGCTTTTTCAACTGTAAAAAGGGTTAGGAGTTTCTAAGTCAAAAATCCAGAAATCACCACTTTTGTGTAAAAATTCCCCTCCACCAAATTAACAAAAATTCCATGAAATAATTTACAAAGGCATTGCGGGAATAGTATGTCAAATATTTTCAGCAAGTTGGTATATTTCTTATAATTACAATATTCAAATCTAAAATAGTGGTCTATTATGAAATTTTTTTTCTTCAATAAAATGAACTTTTTTTAAAACAAAAAATTCAAAGCTGGAATCCTTTTCATTAAAACATCATTCTCTTGCAGTTGAAAAGTAAAATAAATTTTTTGTGTATTTCAATAATCAGTAAAACGGATTTTAAAGAAAATCCATTTTAAGGGGAAATAACTCCACATAAAAAATAAAAAAACATAAAAATTTTCCGAGATTCATTACTGTTTCATCACCTTTTATAAAGCTATATTTTATTTTATTTATATACAAAAGCTTCCAAATCTTAATAAGTTAATGTACAACCACCCATCTAATTAAATTGTGGAGAAGAACAACTACCCACAGAATTACATTTGCTCCAACCACCACAACCCATGCAAAAAAAGATAAACTGCCGTCCAACCCTCCCATACATTTTTTTCTGGAATAGCCCTAACGGAATAAATGGTATAGAAAATTTGTTCCAACAGGAACAGATATTATGACATTGTTTATAACAAAGTTTCTAGTTGAACTTCTGTTAGGCGGAACAAATATACGTTGACAAGACAAACCCAGCACATATAGGGAAGCTGGTTTTAGGTTCAAATGCTGTGCATTATTATTATGTGAACTGTTATTTTGAATTAAAGCTTTGTAAATCTTACACATAAAAGTATCGTGTCATGTTTATAATATGTTTCATTTGACACACAAAATGCAGACTTAAATTTGGAAGTGAGAACATTTTCGTCATTAAATATAGGCAAGCCAAACAATGGATGAATTCATTACAGAAGTGATTCATAAAGATCTCTCTACCACACAACATATTTCAGCACAGTGTAATGTATGCAAAATGTCCAGGAGATTCTAGAATCCTTCTTAAACATCTAACGACTTGACAGATCAGCATTTAATTTGAAAAAGTCAATAAAACTGACATGACTGATAGCATCACATTTTATCTTTATTTTTTAGGAAGTAATTGGATTTGTTGTCATGGGAATTCAAGGACTTTTACCGTTTCTAAAGAAGATACATGACCATGTGAACATTGCCAAGTTTTCTGGTTGTACAGTGGCTATAGATGCTTATTGTTGGCTACACAAGGGAGCTTTTTCATGTGCTGAGAAATTGGCCCTTGGAGAAAAAACAGACCAGTATGTATATGATTCAATTACCATTGTTTTTTATAAATTTTATATGATTTATCAGTCATACATTTTTGTCGAGCCTGCAAAATTTATTTCTTTGAAGCGAGACATAGCGATCCTAGATTCTGTTGTCGGCGGCGTCAATATTTAGGTTCAGTCTGTGGTTCAAGTCGTTTTAGACATCAATAACTTTGTCAAACCTACATGGAATTTTATGTAATTTGGACAGAAGCTTGTTTATGACCAAAAGACAGTATTCAGGGCAAAATTTTGAAATTATTTATTTTCATTTTTCTCTTTTTTACAGTTAACAAGTAGATACAGTCTGAGGTTAAAAATTTTCAGTCATCAATAACTTTGTCAAACCTTCATGGAATTTTAGGAAATTTGGATAGAAGCTTAATTATGACAAAAATACAGTATTCAGAGCAAAATTTTGAAAATAATTATTTTCATTTTTCCATATTTAATTGATAAATGGACTTAATTTTTTTTTTACAGTTAACAAATAGATATAGTCTATAGTTAAAGTTTGTTACACATCAATTACTTTATCAAACCTTCATAGAATTTTATGAAACTTTTGCACAAGCTTTTTTTATGATTAAGAGATAATGTCCAAGGCAAACTTAAATGTTTTTTTTTCATTTTCAATATTTTTCTGATAGATGGACTTAGTTTTTTACACATTTACAGATAGTCTGGGATTAAATTTTTTTTACATGATAAATTTTAAAACCTTCATGGATTGCTATGAAATTTGAATAGAAGCTAATCTTCAAGACCATGAAATAGCATCTAAAGGAAAAGTTTGATTTTTTTGGATTCTGTATTTTACTGATAAATCAATGTAAATGGACTCACTTTTTAAGTCAACATTACACTTTTACACTGATAGCAGCAATCGCAGGCGAGACACAGGGTTCCACGGAACCCCATACAAATTTTTCTCAATAATTAACATAATTAAGCACATTTGGGTTTTTTCCATGGCTTTAATTGTTTGCAAAAGTATTTCTATCAAAGTTATGCTGCTGATTTTGCATTGACTACAATGTCAGTGTTTCAAATCTTCAGAAAATAAGCTGTTAAAATGATTAAAGATATTTAAGAAATTATTCTTTCATGCATTCTTCTATGCTCATTTTAACATGGGTAGGCATTATATATGTCAATGTCTTATCAATACCTAGTGCAAGCGAGATGTAAAATGTTGACATGTTATAATGAGCACAGAGCTTGTTATGATAGAATTATTTCAATTCTAATATGAAAAGTAAGAACTTTTTGGATATGAAGCAGACCTACAAGGCAGCCAATTTGATTTTGTAAGGCAAACATTCTAGTAGAAAAACCAACAATTTCCCGATAACAAAACTGATCAGATATTTGTAAACTTACTTTTAGAATGTTTTGTTTAATTTACTAACCAGCAACACCAACAATAATGTCCATTTGGATATCTGGCTTTTTATGTGCACTTCATGTTCTATTGGAATTAGAACATGGCTTTGTTTACAAAGCGAAAAGAGCCATGGCATTAATTGCATATGGAAGTTTTACTATGAGTTTGAAAACAACAGCATTAGTTTTGAAAAAAAATAATTGTTACCATGACCATGTTTACCATGTTTTGTTATTACAGTATTTATCCCGAATATTATGTTACATACTGTAGATACATTAATTTTCAAGGGGTTAAAATTTCGTGGTTTTGTCTCTATATAAAATTTCATGGGGATTTAATTTCGTGGTTTCCATTAAATGGAAGTGATATTATATGTAGGTTAAATTTTCGTTGGGGTTTTAATTTCGTGGATATATTCTTTCCACGAAATAAACGAAATTAAATCCTCCACGAAAATTTCTGCTTTTACAGTAGTTCAAAAACTTTGATTACAGATATGTGTACTATTGTATGAAATACTTGGAGTATATGTTAAAGAACAATCTGAAGCCTATCATGGTGTTTGATGGATGTCATCTGCCCTCAAAGAAAGACGTAGAAAAGACAAGAAGAGAGTAAGTCTAATATCATATATCATTCTGGTAGACAGGGAATTTTGAAATACCATCTTGTTTTTAGAAATTATTGCATCATATCCATAAACACAATCTATAAGAAAACCATTTTAGATGGTATCAACTTAAAGCAATATTGCATCACATTATCATGATTATAAAAGGCCCTGGAGAGAACACTAACGAAAGTACAGTACATACTTTTGATTGAAAAAGAAAAGATGCAAAAAATGTCGGGGAAATTAGACTAGCTTTTGGGCATTTCTTGCTTGCTCAAATTGTGGAAATTGCATACCTGTTTAAAATGGTATTTATCATTGACTTGTTATTTGCCTTGTTAGAAAACACAAACTCATTTACCAATATATCCAGACTGTTAACTAAAGCCATGAAATCATACATGAGAAATTAGACAAAATAAGAATTAAATAGATTTGGTCAAGATATATACCAACTGCAAAACACAGTGTAGTCAGAGATTATAACATGTCCAGTAGATATGAATACTTGTAAAAGAAGATAAGAGTTTGGTGTGGAAATATTAAAATTCTTCACTTGTCCAAGGCAAATGCTTAACAAAAATCTACTTGCCTGAAAATTTTTGTTCTTATCCCTACTGGTTGTGCTATTAATGAAATAACTTGTCTGGGACTACAGTGTTCTCCCCAGGATTTTTTGATAGCGCTGGGGTAAGCGCGCGACATTAGATTAATATACCATTTTTACATGATGTTACATTTATTTATAACTACCATGCTGGTTATATTATATTAAATAGACAAAGACCTGCATTATTTTTATACATATGCTTTCACAGAAATAATTAGCAACATTTTAATTATTAAATTTTAAAAAATAAAATGCCCAGGTAATTTATATAATTTTATTTCAATACCACCCCTCCCCCATTTTTTTTGTAAGAGTAAGTATGCACTTTTAGTTGTTTGACTTATAAACTAGTTATAATATATTCTTTACAATTTCATAATTTACTGACACACATTTACAGAAAGTTTTCAATGACAAGATTGGAATTTTTTCATTAACTTTTTTTTACATCTATAATCAAATTACAATTTGGCAATAAAAAATCAGTATATTAATTATTATTGAATATCAAAGGAAGAAATGGAATTACCCTGTCCATAATATTTAAATATTATTAAAGAAATATTTATAAAAGGTTAACATAATAATAATAATAATAATAAATTCTTTATTTAAAGAGGGTAAACTCAGTTAGTTACAATAAACTAATCTTCCCTGAGGCCCTCACATACAAATTACAATACAATCAAAAACAGATATTTACACATAGTTAATTTACAGTCAATTAGTTCAATGTAATATTACTAACATGATAAGATATAAGGCTGTTCAAGATGCACATGTAGTCAAAAAATCAAATAAAAATAAAAATAAAAGAATATACAAATACATTGTAGAAAACATAATCTTATCAGGACTGTGTTAAGTACTTCTTGATACTTTGTTTAAAAGTATAAGTGTTTTGAGCTTTACGCATTTTGTGTGGTAGTCCATTCCATAACACTGATCCAGAGAAAACAAAAGATTTCTTAAATAGCTCAGCTTTTGGCTTAGGAACTATCAGATTACCTTGAGTGACACCTCTAAAGGAGTAAGGATTATTATCTGATTTCAGTTTAAACTTTTGAACTAGGTACATTGGTGCTTCCATATGCATACATTTATATAGAAGTAAATATTTGTGGTATTTGATTCTACTGTCAACTGTCATCCACCCAAGTTCTTTAAATAAGGGGGCTGAGGGGGATAAAGGATCTGCATCTAGAATTAATCTTGCTGCCCTTTTTTTATCTCACCTTGACGGAGTCAAAAAGCGAGACATAGGTATGCTGTTTCCGGCGACGGCGTCAACAATGTATTAGTTTGTGATTAGGTCTAGTTCATGGTGAACCACTAGTGGTAGGTCAATGATATTTGGTATGCAGTTGTATTAGCATTGGCACATCTCATTACCATGGAGATTATTTGGCCCCGCCCCCTCAGTCAAGGTCTATTGACTTTGAAACTTTTCATAGTTTACATGTATTAGTTTGTGATTAGGTCAATTTATGGGGAACCACTAGTGGTAGGTCAATAATATTTGGTATGCAGTTGTATAAGCATTGGCATATCTCATTTCCATGGAGATTATTTGGCTCCGCCCCCTTAGTCATGGTCTATAGACTTTGAAAATTTTGCTTAGTTAACATGTATTAGTTTGTGATTAGATCAGTTTAAGATGAACTGCTAATGTAAAGACAATGATATTTGGTATGCAAATTTATTGGCATTTGCAAGTATTGTTTCCATGGAGATTATATAGCCCCACCCCTGATCATGGTTCCTTGACTTTTAAACTTTTACATAGTTTACAAGTTAATGTTTGTGTTGAGGTTCGTTTAAAGGGAACGACTTATAATAAGTCAATGGTATTTGGTATGCAGTTGTATTAGCATTGGCACATCTCATTCCATGGAGATTGATTAGCCATGTACCTTCAGTCATGGTTCATCGACTTTGAATATTTGCATAACTTACATGTTAAAGTATTGCAATTTTAATTTCAACATTTGCATTATCAAAATTACAAAAAAAGCGAGACATATCTCTGTGATAACAGTTTATGGAGTTTTAAAATTCCAAGATGAATATGTAGATAGAAATCCTAGATATATTTTTTTAAAGATTTTTTTTTATTAAAGGTGGATTATCAATAAAATTAAATTATATTTGCCAATTGAAACATTACTACCACCTCCAAAGGTTGTGTTTGATAATTTTATAAACATTTGAATTCTTGCCACCAGAAATATTTGACAAGATATGACAATACTTGTTTTAGAACTTTCCCTACAAAATTGTCTCCCTTACACAGAACTTCCTGTTAACACTTATGGCTTATAGGTTACAAGAGCGCAATTATTCGTAATGCATTTTCCATAGGGTACCAGTGGTGTTCCATATTTTTTTTCTCGAAGACTACACAAATTAGGGAAAAACGGGTAGCAGTTCCTGTTACTAGAAATGCCAGTGTTGCATTACAACTAAAAAAATATATATGGTCATGTGTCAAAAATTGACTTAAAATGCAGTTGAAAAAGATCGTCTATTTTTTCTTGCTTAATGAAAAAGGCATATTTTTAATGGCCCCCACGTGCAGAAATGGAAGATATTTTCTATACTTTGCAAAATGTGAATTTGATTTTCTGGATTTTTAAAAACTAATTGGATAAGCTTTCTATTAAAAGTAATTCCAATTCTGTATCATCCAATCAGAAGCCGTACAGGATTCTATTCTGAATACCATCTTGGGGTAAAATACTTGCCGGTAAAATGTAAACAAATAATTGCGCTCTTGTAACCTTATGGCTTCAGACCACAATTAATTCCCTTTGTTCGTGGTCTAGGAATATAGTTCCCAATTATTATATGGGGTATTTCTTCCTAAGTATTCTGACTACTGTTTTCTTTGAAATGTTTACTATATTAGTGGTCCTATCAGTTGCATATATATTGAAATAAGTAAAACATGTGGACAAAATTTATTGTTGAAAGTGAAAGTAGTGATTCAGCCAAAATGAAAGTAGGGTAGAAATTAGCCTTCGTCATTTATTCAAGATTCAAATCCTACCATTGGCATGTTAATATGGCTCTCAAAAGAAAAAGCACTGATGGATTGTCCTGGGACAAGCATATTTTATTCAAATAATAATGGTCTATAAGCAGGTAAATTTATTTCATGTTTGAAGCGGTGCAATTTTTTTAATTCAATTTGACTTTTACCAAAAAATGCATTGTAACCAATGGGAAGAATAATTGTGGTCTGAGGCCTTATGGATCATTAAATACCATTCCTTATCCAAGCCATCCTCTGTTTACATTAATTTTAAAACAATATTTAGTTAATATATATTGACAAGTGGATGACAAATATCGATATTTTATATATATTTACACGATTTTTTCATTTTGTTTAATTCTCTATTCGATTTTGAAACGAGCGATGAAAGGACAAGTAATCGTAAAATACGGGCTTGTTAAGAATCGCAGGACAACAGGAATGCTTTCCTTAAAGCCATACAGATTCAACAGTGCAGTTGTAAACGCAAAAAAATAATGAAATAATCCTGGGAACAGTATATATGTTCCTGAATAATCTTAGATGGTTCAAAAGATGGTCAAGACCACTTTGTCAGAGAAGGGTGTAAAACTTCCCATAAATAATTTAGGAATGATTTTTAGTACTATCCACCCCTTTCATGAAGCTTCTGCTTCTTTTTAAAGCGAAAAACTCCAGAGAGAAAAGTTTTTTTGACAGTAAAAGTATTGCAAATGGCGCCATTTTGTTCTTTTATTGAACTGGCCCCTCCGATATTTGACTTCGTTAGGTGAATAAACGATCTTTCAGACAAATGAACCAGTCGACCACGTGATCGGATTTGTACAGAATAATACCGGAAGTTTGAAAATTCAAAAACAATAGCGCTGACATTTGATTGGATAGCGCTGCGGTCTGCCCAATAGCACAGTGCTGAATACCGCAGCGCTAAAATGGCCTGGGGAGAACACTGGACTAGTGGTTAAAACATATTTGATTGTCCAGGAGATTTTGGGACAAGTCAGGCAAGGTGTTATCATAACCCTGCCAGGTATATATATATGCTAATGAAACAGCAATCAAACACACAAAAACAGGTATCTGGATATCTGCAGTTTACTCACATAAAGACAAAGATAAAAATTTCCTGAAAAGGATAAGTACAAAATAGTAGTTGAGATAAGATTAGAAATTATTGTTTGCTATGAAACTTGTGTATTTCAGAAAGAGAAATATGTATAAGAAAAAAGCAGCTCAGTTGTTAAGAGAAGGAAATCGAGCGGAAGCTAGAGAATGTTTACAGAGATGTATAGATATAAGTCCAGAAATGGCTCTCAGATTAATGGAGGTATACATATTGCCATTAAACCAGACTAGATTTTCACCTTTTGTTACCACAAACCATCTTTCTCAAAATCTTTTTTTCCTGGGTGGCCCTTGAAGAAAATCTGCTGGTCCTCACTATTATTTTTAATGCAAAATACCAAAATTATCTGGGTCTAGGAGTAGACAAGACCCTGCATTACACTTTGTAAGCAAGCCTAATATGTGCAAAATGTATTTCAGTCTTTAAGTTTGATTGGTAGAAAACATTATATTGTAAAATCTTGCTTATTGATGCTTGTATTATAGGTCTGCAGAGAAAGGGGAATAGATTGTATAGTGGCACCGTATGAGGCTGATGCTCAATTGGCATTCTTGAGTAAATCTGGTATTGCTCAAATTATTGTAACAGAGGACTCAGATTTATTACTATTTGGTTGTGAAAGAGTAAGTATATGTAGAGTTCTTTAGTATCTGATATTTGACAGTTGGTTCAGGGTCTGGCTGGATCTGCCATATGCTAGATAGTACTCTATATTAAACACATGGAAATACCTAACCATTTTCTTTGGGAAGTACATTTCTGATTTGTAAGAAATAACCATATATCATTTGCCTGTCGACCAATTTTTTGAATGACCACAAAGATTGAATTCAGTATAAAGTTATAGTGGCATAAGGGGCAGGATGCGTAAATACACAACCACTTCCAGTCAGAATTGGGACATTAAATCCCATGCCAAGCCAAGAGAGAGAGAGAGAGAGTTCTAGGCCCTCTACATGTTTAAGAACACTTTAATATTAATGTAATACATGACACAGGATATTAATTAAACAACACTGCTAATCAATATTCATATTTGAAGTTTTTTGAATTTTCAGTATTCGTAGTAACTGAGAAACTGAAGGAAGTCTAGCTGTTCTGTGTTTTGAAATTCTTTACTTGGTAAAAAAAAAAGTTTTGTTGTTGCCACTGTTACTTTTGTTGTAGGCAAAACAGTTATGAATGTTTTGTCCCAGGGAAAATAATTTATCAGATTCTTTTTTTGTCATAGGGATAGTGATCCAGCAGCGGCATTAGCTTACTTCTTAAAAGCTTTATATTTTAGAAGCTAGAAGACCTGGATGCTTCATACTTTGTATATAGATGCCTTATTATATGAAGTTTCCGTCTGTCATATGTCCATTGTCCTTGACCTCATTTTCATGGTTCAGTGACTACTTGAAAAAAAGTCAACATTTTTTGTAATGTTTATTTCTTTCTTATTATGAGTAATAGGATAACTATATTTAGTATGTGCGTACCTTGCAAGGTCCTCATGCCCATCAGACAATTTTCATTCGACCTCAACCTCATTTCATGGATCAGTGAACAAGGTTGAAGTTTTCGTGGTCAAGTCCATATATCAGATACTATAAGCAGTAGGTCTACTATATTTAGTATATGGAATGATTGTAAGGTGTACATGTCCAACTGGTAGGTGTCATCTGACCTTGACCTCATTTTCATGGTTCAGTGGTCAAAGTTAAGTTTTTGAGTTTTGGTCTGTTTTTCTAATACTATATGCAATAGGTCAACTATATTTGGTGTATGGAAATATTTTATGATGTACATGTCAGTCTCACAGGTTTTATTTGACCTTGACCTCATTTTCACTGTTCATTTCTCAGTGTTAAGTTTTTGTGTTTTGGTCTGTTTTTCTTCAACTATAAGCAATAGATCAACTATATTTGTTGTATGGAAGGATTGTAAGGTGTATATTTCTGTCTGGCAGGTATCATCTGACCTTGACCTCATTTTAATGGTTCATTGGTCAATGTTAAGTTTTCATGGTTAAGTTTGTTTCTTAGATACTATAAGCAATAGGTCAACTATATTTAATGCATACATTGATTGTAAGGTGTACATGTCTGTCTGGCATGGTGCATCTGACCTTGACCTCATTTTCATGGTTCATTGGTCAATGTTAAGTTTTCTTGGTTAAGACTGTTTCTTAGAAACTATAAGCAATAGGTCAACTATGTTTGGTTTATTGAATGATTGTAAGATGTACATGTATTTCTCGTTTGGTTTATCTGACCTTGACCTCATTTTTTTGGATCATGTTAAGTTTATGTGTTACTTGTAGTAAAGCTTTATATTTAGGACTATCAACATAAAATCAATAGTTAGTAAGGCGAGACATTTCAGCGTGTGCACTCTTGTTTTAAAATGAGCAGGGTTAATACATTTAGATTTTTTAATAATTACTATTAGAAGGACAACACTTTTATTTATTCTTGGCCTTAATCAAACCACTATTTGATAAGGGACTTACAAATCACTATATTTCTTTTTTTAGGTAATATTTAAAATGGACCATTTTGGTAATGGAGTAATGATAGAAAAAAGTAAACTGAACGAAGTGATGGAAATACAGAATGGTTTCTACACATTTGATAAGTTCCAGTACATGTGTATTTTATCTGGATGTGATTATCTCCCATCTTTGTCAGGCATTGGATTAGCTAAAGCTTGCAAAGTGTTCAAATTAGCCAGACAAGCAGACCTAAAAACAGTAAGTAGAGAATTACCTCCCTTGAAACAATCACTCAAAATGGTAAGTGGAGAATTTTCTCCCTTGTAACAATCAATTATCCTCTTTGTCATAATCAATTAAATTGCCATGAATGTAAGTGGAGAATTATCTCCCTTGTCACAATCAATTAGAATGCTTAGAATGGTTAGTGGAAAATTGTCTCCCTTGTCATAATCAGATAACATGCTTGGAATGGTAAGTGGAGAATTGTCTCCCTTGTCCTAATCGGATAACATGTTTGGATTGGTAAGTGGATAATTGTCTCCCTTGTCCTAATCAGATAACATGCTTTGAATGGTAAGTGGAGAATTGTCTCCCTTGTCCTAATCAGATAACATGCTTGGAATGGTAAGTGCAGAATTATTCAAGGGTAAAAATATTTGTTCATGTCTTTTCACTTATATTTCTTTCTATTTTTAGCTTTTGAAGAAGTTTCCCACCACTTATTTAAAGATGTCGTTGACAGTTACTGATGAATATATAGATGGTTTCATTAAGGCTTACAATACATTTCTGTACCAACTTGTTTTTGACCCTTTAAAGAAAAGACTGGTTCCCCTTCATGATTATGAGGATGGTATAGAGTCCAGTGATGTCCCCTATGCCGGACCGTATCCTTTATATGACAGGGGCTGAAACTGCTTTTTCATGTATAATAATGATATTGACATTTTTTTGGAAAACAGCATTCATTTTCAAGCTTTGATGACTTGGAGTCCTTAACATTTATCAGATATATACCACATGAGAAAGCTTTGCAGATTGCCTTGGGTAATATCAACATTTATACCATGGAGAAATTTGCTAATTTTAATCCTGATAACTTTGTGGTAGGGTTTGTTGTCTGCTACATTTTAAGGTTTATGTAACTTAACAGCTACATGTTTCGCTAAAAAAAATTACAATAAAAAATACTTGTGTGTCATAAACATATCAGAATTTTTGGTGAAAGAGTCACAGTATATCATTATAAGATGTACACATATATGAATAGATTATATAGTAATACATATAAAAAATAAGAAGATGTGGTATGATTGCCGATGGGACAACTCAACAAGAGACCAAATGACACAGAAATAAATAATTATAGGTCACCATACAGCCTTAGTCTGCTATAAAATGCCCCGAAATGACAAATGAATTTATTTACAAAATAATGAATGAAAAACAAATATGTTACACAGCAACAAACGACAACCACTGAATTACAGGCTCCTGACTTGGGACAGACACACACAGAATGTGGCGAGGTTAAACTTGTTTGAAGGCGCCAACCCTCCCCTAACCTAGGACAGTGGTATAACAGTACAGCATAAGTACAAACTATTAAAATCAGTTGAAAAAGGCTTAATTTGTCAGATGGATACAAATAAGAATACATCTAACAAAAAAACAGAGTGAACATGGATGGGTACTTAAACATCTACACAACAGAAAGGCATTAAGTACAGATCTGAGAGTACTCGCAGTTACTGACAGCTAGTTAAAAGCCAAAAACAACTAATGAAAAAAATCATGCATCTAAGACTAAAATATCAATCAGTACACATCCAACATCCAATGGATTTAGTGTAAAAACGCCATAAATGGTCAGAGAAAAACATGACCTTGTGCAATGCCAAGATACAGGTATCGACATTGTAGATCCATGAATGTGCATATGTATATAATAATAATATTTAGTTTGCTTTTAATTTACTGATGATGTAGTTCATAAGTGTTTCTCGTTTCTCATTTTTTATATAGATTAGATCGTCGGTTTTCCAGTTTGAATGGTTTAACACTAGTAATTTTTGGGGCCCTTTATAGCTTGCTGTTCGGTGTGAGCCAAGGCTCCATCTGAAGACCGTATTTTGACTATATTGGTTTACTTTTATAAATTTTGACTTGGATGGAGAGTTGTCTCATTGGCACTCATACCACATCTTCTTATATCTATTGAATTGGTAACCTTTTAGAATAAGTTTATTTAAAGAATCAATAAGTTTACAAGGATTGTGTTTAAATTTCTGGGCACGGTAAACAACATCTCCGTAAAAATGAGGATGTGCTATCCCGTTTGAAATAAGTTTTCTACAGGTACAACCAAACTTCATAACCAAATCTTTATATCTATGGAAGATTTAAGTAAAGGTTTTAAGTAATATTGCATTAATTTAACAATTAACAAATATCAAGAATTTCAAAACATTTTACCAGAATCATATTTGACTATATCAAAGAATACTTGTTATATACGGATTGCAGGGGCAAAAAGTATGAAGCAAAAACTGAAAGCATAAGAACCAAACAAATGTTATGTTGATTTTTTTTAAGGGTTTAATGTTTACTGTGATAGAATAGTTAGAAAATAGTCTTTCTACTGTTTTCTACAGTCACAAATACATCAAATATTTAGTTTAATATCAGTGTATAAGATTTTTTTTCTTACTATTTTGCAGCCAAGTAAAGCCAGTAAGAAGAAATCAAAAAGTTTACACATGCTGAGTATGTGGAACAAAAATTACAGGATCAGACCTAAAACTCACTTAACCGAGACACAGAATAGACCAAATCTGAAAGGAAAGGAAGTAGTCATCAAAACTAAGATACAGACGAGACAAGAAATTGTCAAACCTGGTAAATATGAATAGATATAAGAGGATGAGTTTCATTTTATTCTGCAATAAATGACTGTGACAGCAATCCAACTACACAACCAAACTATATATATATATACATCTAGAGGTCAATATTTGACTTTAAATGATAAAAAAGCATCTTCACAGGTTGTTCTGAGACACTACCTAAAATATTTGTAAGAGCTAGTAGCCTACAAATGTATATGTACAAACATAAATACCAGTCTAAAAACTATAAAACCATGTATTGCATAGCCTATTAAGTTAAGAGTTGTTATCATAAAAAAGCAGAAATTGGTGATGTAACTTTGAACTAGATATTGAACCAAGTTTGGTTGCTTAGATTATTTTTCTGAGCTTGCAGAATGCCAGTGTCTTATTGAGGCAACTCATTATTTGTGATGTCAAAGATTTCAAGTGCATTGTTTATAAATGACAAAGCAATAAACCAAAAAAGAAATATGACCAACAGCAATCAGCAATAAGTTAACTTTGGACAGACAGACACATATAGAATGTTGTGGTTAAACTTATTAGTGAGTGCTCATCTCTCCTTCTAATCTGGGACAGTTTTGTAAAATCACAACATAAAAACAAACTGTAAAAATTAGTTGGAAATGCCTTGGCTATTTTAAAAGAAGGCCAATAAGCACAAAATACAACATATATAAAAACAACAGACACAAAGTACCAAACTAAGAGTACTTGCTTATACGAGAAGCTAGTTCAAAGCTAATAACAACTTGTACCGTAAATTGGGAAAATTTGGCGTCAGGATATTTTGGCGGTTTTCTCTCGAAAGGCATGTGTTTTATTTTGGTGTGTGTAATTTTGGTGCTTCGTCCAATTGATATGTTTAATTTTGGAATAACAGTAGGGAGCAAGCTCATTCATATTTGCCTTTATTTACCGGTTTGTTGACAAAATATCATTGAACTTCTCAAACTTAATCCGCGACAAAGTTTACTTAATGAAAGAATCGGATACGGATGCGATTGCAAATAATTCAGGATATCGTGGTTCAAAGCTGAAAGAAATATGAAATAAAATCTTAAACATTAAAATAATTTTTTGAAAAGATTATTTATTTTTAACAATATCATATGAAATAAATTTCAATCATCTCTATTGCAGTACATGTTAATTTATTGACGATCAAGGATTTAAATTTTAATCCTTATGCCTCTGGCAGTACATGTTAATTAATTAAAGATAAAGGATTGAAAGAAGTTTTGATATTCTTATTAACAATAACGGCGTCTACTCAGCAATAGCCTGGCATATTTATGACATGTCTGAATAAAAATTCTTGTTGTGTTTTCTTAACAATTTCCCAAAAATAACAATTAAGTAAAAATTATATAGTGTTGTCAAATTATACCAGGTATTTATTTGCAAATTTGGCTACGCGATATTAGCATTTCAATTTTTACTGTTTGCTTTATTTTCGTGTGTTTATATTGGCACTTTCATTGGAGGCACCAAATAAACCAAAATAAAACTACAACCAAAATAACCCAATTTACGGTACATAAATCTTGTTCTCACTGATTATGCTTAATTTGGAGACTGTGTTTATTCATTTATTCAGCTGATGATAGCTTGGAAGTTAAAACAGACGGAGAGCTGACTGGTATGTACCAGAACTCACCAAAGAGGAAACTAAGGGAGATAAGTAGCAGTGATGATGAACCAAGCCCTTGTAAAAGACGACGACAAAACAGCAGTAGTGGAGAAGAACTTTCCCCTAAAAAGTGCCAAAAGTTTATGAAATCTCCACGTAAACCAGAATTTTTCAGTTCTTTAGTTGAAGCAGATGTTGATTCATCTATTTGTGACAATTCTATTGCTGAAGAGAAAAATGATAAAGAAAATGATATTACATCTCCACGAAGAAATAGATTTGCTTTAGTGAGTCCTTCAAAGAAAGCTAAATTCAACTTAAATGCGCCAAAGGAAGTTGTGAAAAGCAGGTATTATCATGATTAAAACATTTGTAATGTTTCTTACCAAATTGCCAAATATGGGTGTTTACCCCTGTCACACTTGTTCCTCAACAAGTAAAAGCAAAAAATGTAAAAAAAATCATCAACTTAAAACTAGATACATAAGTTACATCAAATGAATTTTGGATAACAGTGATTCATAACTATTAATGTGGATTCATTATTATTCAAGGGATACTAAATTTTTGTGGATTTCGTGGGTATAGGTGAACTGCAAATGCAAATGTTCATTGAATTACAATTTTTTATAGGCTTGTATGCAGACTTTGACAAAACCATGAATTCAAATATCCTAGAAAATGCAAGTTTTTCCTCAATCCACGAAAATTGGTAACCAGGAAAATAAAAGAATCCACAGTATTGCTTGATTTATTATAGGGATGATTGATTGATAGAGGTGTATGGCATGTATTTACAGACACAGGTTTTTTTCGGTCAAATATTGTAAAGTGGTAGTTTTTGTTGAGTTTAAATGTCACAATTATTAGGGCAAAATCTTGATATTGATGCCATGTTTTAGTTTGTCGTTTTTCTTGCAGCAGGATTTGCTTATACTTCTGGAGCCTGAGAATATTTTATTCTGGACTTTAAATTATGGCCTTATTTACTGATTTAGTGATTTATATTTTTTTGGGGTTATTTTTCAGGTTTTTTGCTTCATCTTCTTCACCATGCATCAAAACTGAACCAGTTGCTGGAGACATAAAAGTGGACCAGAAACTTGAAAAATCTGCCTCTGTTCAATCTGACAATGAAACAAAACAAGAAATTAAGAACATTGTACCTCAACATAAAAAAGACAATTCGAAACCTTCAAATAAATCGGCATTTAGTTGGAATAGGTTTAAGTCATCTTCTCAAAATAGTATAGAATCTAGTCCTCATTCTAGAAATCCATTTAAACGGGTTGTTTCGGAAAAACAAATAAGCTCTACACAAAAAAAGTCATGTCCGATACGCAAGTCATCATCACAGCCATCAATGTCACGATCTGATTCACAGAAAAGTTTAGATAATCTGAGTCAAGTCAGTTCCTATAGCAACTTATACAGCATTGATTCTGACTGTTTTTCAAAACCTGAGGATATGGATGACTTAAGTGATTGTGAGTCTAGCGTTCGGGATAGTGAGACAAATAACTCTAGTCAGAATATAAGTAGTCCAAATAGTATCCAGTCTTCAGGAAGACAGATAAATGAAGTAAATTCTAGTGAGAGTTTAATTAGTCAAGTCATTACAGAATGTCCTGAGGAAGAGGATGAGGATATTATTGTAGTGAAAACAGAACCAGGAACCAGTTCTCAGGTAAGTTATCAGTATATTTACAGATTTTATTTACTTGAATTTTGATGCAAAAAATCATTTGTTTTCAGACATAACATCCATCTTTTCATATAAACTTGTAAATTACCTGTTCAGTGCACGCGACCACTTACATTAAATGTTCACACAGCTGATTTTTGTATCTTGAAGGTTATTTCTGGCCATAGTCCCATTTTCACACTTTTTAGGCCTTCAGCAGCATGAGCAGAACATTTGATAAACATTATTTTTGGTTTACTGAAGCTTTGCCTTTACTTACATGTACAGTCGACTCCACTTAATTGCATACCACTTAATTGCATCATTCGGTTAATTGCATAATTTTCTCCTGCACAAAACCATTTCCCATGAGAGAATGCAAAAGAAGTGCTGTTACAAATTTATTAGATTTCATTCATTCAGTGTTTTATATGTTTACAGGAATCCAAAGTGAAAGTAAAGAATGTACAAAAAGGTTAGTACTTATTTTTAGGAACTGTTTCCATGGTGTTGTTGAGGAGAGTTGTTTCTCTGCCACCATGGTGGAGAGCAAGATGCACAGATTCCTTCATAACTGAATTATTAGACTTGCTTGTCCTTCATGATAGTCAAATAAGAAAATCAACTTGTTTTCCCTTCTAATATGGCTAAGGAAAATAACTCCAACCCAAATTGGAAACTATAAATACTTCAATGAGACAGCATCTCAAAAACACAAAAAAAAAATCCAAACTAAAGGTCATGAGATAAAATTTTAACCAAAAGTAAAGAAAAGTATGGCATTCAGTTACACAGCTGTTTGTGACATTTTTGCCACAGGACTTATTTAAAGAAAAAACCATCAGTCATTAATATATATAAGTCAGGATTATACTGTACTTGCCAAACAGTTTAGACTACAAATTTTAACAGAGTGTTTTCTGAGTCAATTCCAGTTTTTTCTGGGTTTTAGGGATATAAATTTCCTGCCCAGCTTCAGCAAGGTATAATAAAAATTTACACATGGGAATATTTTGGAACTGCAATACATTTACATTATTTACTTACTTTTTTCAAATATCTTTATGAATATAATTTATAGTTGCATGCAGTGTTAAAATTATCATTCTCATGACATAAACATAAAAATTCATCTTTGAAAAATCACAACTTCACTTTGCTCTTCATTGAACCATATCATTTTAACTCCTTGAAGAAATAGTAGAAAATCCTAAATATTGTAATTGCTAGAATCAAATTTGGTCTAGCAAACAATCTTATAGAAAAAAGAAAACAACTTTTTATGTAAGAACGTGAAAATCTACCTGAGATTTGACATAAATTTGTTTATGATCAAACTGATTTATATTTTGAGTTATCACAAGAGAAAATAATCTGTCCTATAATATGTATGATATAATTTTAGCTCCAACTATGTCTGGTTGTCATGTTTCTGGCTTATCAAGGGGAAAGAAGAAGACACCAGCTGTTGATATAAAACAACAAAGTTTAAAGGATATGTTCAGTAAATTCTCAAATAACAGAACGTAAGTAGAGATAACATAGGCAATAAATATATTTCATTTTGCATTGTTTTACTTTCATGTTTCTACCAACTGTTACAAAATTAAAGATTTGAAAGTGAATTACAATTGCAATTTTACATAATTTGCAAACATAGCAAATACTTCAAAATGCATAGTTTTATTTACAATGTATATAAAACTTTTAGAGACATTGCGCAAACAACATTGACAAACAGTAGTGATTTGATAAGATTAAGAAGTTACCAAGCAGCAATAAAAGAAAGTATTAGTTGTTGAAAAACTAGATAACAGTATGGCCAAATGAAAAAGACGTCCACAAAGCAGAAAACTAAAGATTGAGCAACGTGATTCCAACGAAAAACTTGGGCTAAACTCAGGTACTCTGGGAGGATCAGCAGTACTAGTGACACCTTTGTTAAAATACATTGAAGAGTCTGTCTTCAACATTCGACAAGTATATCCAATATTAATTCAAGCTCTTGATTGCCCCGTGTATAGAAAAGTTGTAGAAATTAAACAAACTATGAAAGTTCTGCAAGAGGGACGAAAGATACCAGAGGGACAGTCAAACTCATAGATCGAAAACAAACTGACAACGCCATGGCCAAAAATAAAAAGACAAACAGACAAATAATAGTACAGATGACACAACATAGAAAACTAAAGACTAAGCAACACGAACCCCACCAAAAACTGGGTGATCACCTTCCCCCCAAAAGATATGAAAAAAAAACAAAAAAACATAAGATATGCAATAACTAACCAGGTTCCTGACTTGGGACAGGCACAAGAACGTAGTCTGGATTTGTCATACTTGTTTTTTGTTGCTGTTTTAGCTGTTCTTTAAGATTTTTGACTCGCAAAAGTTAATCTGAAGACATCATTTGTCAAAATATGCATGTTCACATTCTGGTTTCAAAATTAGAACAATTTAATATTATTATGTTACACCTGTATGATGTCAGATAGTTTTATAAGAACAAGTTTTCATGCAGCTATTTTTTTGTCATTCCAGTGAAAAGCCAAAGTTGAAGCATGAAAAGAGTGAAGACCTGAATGCTACTCCTACCACAGACAATAGTGTTTTATCTTTGAAAGGTGGCATACAACGTTGTTTACTGCCATGAACACACATGGACAGTTATAAATATATCTCTTAGAGAACTTAGCTGCAATGAGTTTGATCTCTGAATAGAGCAGTACACCACCTATACATCCAGTTTTGCATCTGAATGTTGTAGTACAACACTTCATCTAAGAGAAAAACACTACAACTGAGAGTACATTGCTTCAAGTTAAAAGGAAAACACTTGAAATAAGAGTAATGTTTTAGCATTGAAAGGTTTTCTATAGTGCTGTCAACCAATATTATATTTTAAACAGCACCGAAAGTGATGTATCTTTCAAATATGATGTACATTTTATGTCAACAATGATAAGCTAAATCTTGGACTAGAACAACACTCTATACTGCCATGAATGATGTTAACATATTATCTTGAGGGTAGTGAAACAACTAAAACTTAAGAGCAAAATTTCATGGTTCATAATATATGGAAATATGAAAGTCTGATTGGGGCATGGTGTCATATGAACACATATTCTTGAGCACATAATTTTTTGTTAACGTCAAACAAGTGAGGGTATATTTCACAACTTCTAGATTGTGACTTGACACAAAACCTATATCAGAACTATTTTGAAATGTCAGCAAATGGCCAGTTTTCTCTTGATGCAATGTTTTTATGAAAATTAGATCCTTTGTGATCTGATATTGAACATTTATCAATAAATTGAAGATTATAGTGCTTATAATTATTTGAAAGTAATGAAATCTGTTTTATAACCACATTATACAGTGTTCTATATTTTACTGTTTTACATGATTTCGTTTTCTTTTATTTGTATGGTTGTTAAACATTTTATATAAAAATAAATCAAGATTTTATTATTGAAACATTTTTTATTTCTGCCACAATCAAAACTTTGTAAAACTTGATTCATGAATACACATAGATATAAAAATAAGGAGATGTCGTATGATTGTTAATGAGAAAACTACTCACCAAAGACCAATTGATGTGGATGTTAGCAACTATAATTTAACATTTATTATACCCCACGCAACGAGTTGCAGAGGGTATAATGTTTTTGACCTGTCCGTCTGTCCGTCCGTCTGTCTGTCCATCCATCAGTCAGTCAGTCAGTCAGTCTCTCAGTCCTGTTTCTTGTCATCGCAACTCCTCTCAAACCACACAACAGAATTTCGCGAAACCTTTTTAGATAATAAGGACATACTATGTAGTTGTGCATTTCGACAGGAAATTACGATTCAATTCTTTTTCTAGGAGTTACGCCCCTTTGAACTTATTTACTTTAATGTACTACTGCAACAGTTTGTCATCGCAACTCCTCTCAAACCACACAACAGAATTTCATGAAACCTTTTCAGATAATAAGGACATACTACGTAGATGTGCAAATCGACAGGAAATTACGATTCAATTCTTTTTCCAGGAGTTACGCCCCTTTGAACTTATTTGCCCAATATACTACTGCAACCTTTTGTCATCGCAACTCCTCTCAAACCACACAACAGAATTTCATGAAACCTTTTCAGATAATAAGGACATACTACGTAGATGTGCATATCGACAGGAAATTACGATTCAATTTTTTTTCCAGGAGTTACGCCCCTTTGAACTTATTTGCCCAATATACTACTGCAAACTTTTGTCATCGCAACTACTCTCAAACCACACAACAGAATTTCATGAAACCTTTTAAGATAATAAGGACATACTACGTAGATGTGCATATCGACAGGAAATTACGATTCAATTTTTTTTCCAGGAGTTACGCCCCTTTGAACTTATTTGCCAAATATACTACTGCAACCTTTTGTATCGCAACTCCTCTCAAACCACACAACATAATTTCATGAAACCTTTTCAGATAATAAGGACATACTACGTAGATGTGCATATCTACAGGAAATTACGATTCAATTTTTTTTTCCAGGAGTTACGCCCCTTTGAACTTATTTGCCCAATATACTACTGCAACCTTTTGTCATCGCAACTCCTCTCAAACCACACAACAGAATTTCATTAAACCTTTTCAGATAATAAGGACATACTACGTAGATGTGCATATCGACAGGAAATTACGATTCAATTTTTTTTCCAGGAGTTACGCCCCTTTGAACTTATTTGCCCAATATACTACTGCAACCTTTTGGCATCGCAACTCCTCTCAAACCACACAACAGAATTTCATGAAACCTTTTCAGATAATAAGGACATACTATGTAGATGTGCATATTGACAGGAAATTATGATTCAATTTTTTATTCTGATACAATTTTTTTTTCTTACACTTATTTTATTTCTCCAATAACAATGTGGGGACGTGGGGTATGTGAGGGCGCTCACTAAGGTTCTTTAATTGCCTGACTTGTTACATGAACTTAAACCTATCGTTGAGTCAAGCTAGTTTTGTGAGTACTTAACCCTCAATAATTTATATTATCTGTGAAAGTTCTTTTTATAGAAACAGTTTCGATGTATATTCAATATCTTCTAAGGTGTGTTAAGGACATATAAATGTTACAATTTAGAAAAGCATATAACCTTTAATAATTCAACATGGACTGGTACTTCATCTTAGGTTTGAATAATACTAGTTTAGATTTTGAAATGGTATAGAAAGAAGTTGTTGTTTTATATAATGCTCTAGAAATACAGAGGGCAGGCTGGAGTTGCTAGAGGTCACAGATCATATAATCTTGTGTACATAAATTTTAATGAATTAGATTTTGCATTTCTTTATTCTGATATAAAAAAAAAACATTGCCAATCAAATTTGACTGCAAGTGTCATTTCTTACCTAGATAAGTCCTTTCATTCATTCATTCATATCATTAATTCCTCATAAATGAGACTAGATGAACATACAATTAGTATATATAAGTAAATGTCAAAAAACGAACAAAATATCAGTATGAGAACAAAAAGAATTAATTAAAAACACAATAGATATTAAAATGACTGTTTATATAACAGCAATATTTAAAGTATTGATGCAGTGACATATCATGTATTGGCACATCTAATATCACTGTCTCAAGGATCTACTTTATCCTGCTACACATAGAAAAACGTGTGTGAGACAGCTTGAGAAACTAAACAGATCTGTATTTGAAAAATTTGTGTTGTTTTCTACCGAGTAACTTTTGAAACAGGATTTCGTCGTCATACATGCTTAATTCACAGTAAAGCTGTACTGGATAATTGTCACTTATAATGTCCCACCAGACTTCACGTTGTGCATTGGTACTGGGGCAATTGCAGCAAGCGTGTACATAAACATCTTTAAAATTCCTTCTATATTTATCACATGTATTAACTGTTGTATTTGGTATTTCAGTTACTAATTTAGTGATAAACTAGGAAATTTTAAATCTCCTTATAGGAACTTGAGTGTTTCCAAAATTCCACAATAGTCACTGACTTGTGTATATTCTTGAAACATGTGAAACTGTCCTCAGAATTAACCCAGTTTAACCAATTGTTTAACTGTGTCCCATCAACTGCACTATAAACGATTGACTTCCAAATTTGTTTTGAAGGAAATGTTCTATCTTCAATATAATCAAGAAGGTAACTAACAAGTCAATACTGTTTTAGAATATCAATGATATCAGGAGTAAATCCAGTGATTCCTTTGAGTGTCTATAAAACAATCTGGAGAGAAGTAATCTTTTAAAAAGAAATGAAATGTCAAAGGTACACAGTTTTTGTAAGAATATTTGTTTTTTTTGTCAATATATCTTGTAATTGGATGAATATCAAGAATACTAACACACATATCAAAGTCGAAGTTTGCAAGTCAAGAATATGTTTCACTATAAAATGTTGAAACTGGTTCAAAGTAGCGATGTCATAAGTTAACATGTTATTCCACATTTCACACCCATACAAAACGCTGGGCAGTACCACAGTTTTATATAGTTTTATGATGGTATGATACTAAACCCCTAACGAGAGGGATTGTACTTGATTTTCATATGATGAAGACATAATCTTTCAATCAGTTTAATTGAGGTCTGGAGCTGGCATGTCAGTAACTGCTAGTAGTCCTTTGTTCATTTATGTATCATTGTCATTTTGCTTAGTTTCTTTTGTTACCTATTCTGACATCGGACTCAGACTTCTTTTAAACTGATTTTTACTGTGCGTTTTGCTATGTGTTTCTTTATTCTACATTGGCTAGAGGTATAGGGGGAGGGTTGAGATCTCACAAAACATGTTTAACCCCGCCGCATTTTTGTGCCTGTCCCAAGTCAGGTGCCTCTGGCATTTGTTAGTCTAGTATGTTTTTTTAATTTTAGTTCATTTATATGTTTTGGAGTTTAGTGTGACGTCCATTTTCACTGAACTAGCACACAATTTTAGTTAGGGGCCAGCTGAGGACCACCTCGGGGGTGGGATTTTCTCGCTGCATTGAAGACCCATTGGTGGCCTTCGGCTGTTGTCTGCTCTTTGGTCGTGTTGTTGTCTCTTTGACATATTCCCCATTTCCATTCTCAATTTTATTAGTAATACACAAGGATTAGTTGTTTGTTTGGATACCATTTCTTGCAAAATACTACTGCCTTTTCTGCATGAACTTTCAGTCCTTTGATTTGCTTTTTATCGAGAGTTTAGCTCAATACCTAAGTGCAGATAATATTTTGTAATCAGAATACGTTCAGTACCATTAACCATGGAACAAAAAGCATTGATCTCTTTTACATTTTAATACAAAAAATTGAATAATACATGACTTATTAGCATTGAAACAAAAATATCATTTCTTGGAATATTGGTAACAAACATTAAGCATATGTTGCAAAGATACTAGTGATGTGGCAATACATGATATGTCATCAGCAAGAGCTGGTGCACAACAGTAAATATTAAAAATACCTGTATTTGGATTAAATTTTTCAAGATCACAATTTAAATCATTTATAAAATTGAGAATGGAAATGGGGAATATGTGAAAGAGACAACTTACATACTATATACAATAAACCCGAGCACACACCACCTTGACCTTGTAATACATGAAAGAAATCTATTTGAAATTGATTTACAGTTACTACACTTTTCGTATTACAATGGCAGTCATTAATTATTAACCATAGTTTACCATTTACACCTAGTTTAAACAGCTTGTACATTAAACCTGGTCTCCATACCTATCTATGCTTTCCTCCTATCCAGGAATGCTACAAAAATTTTACTAAACAATTCAATATTATGAAATATTGTTTCATGTAAATTAAAGGATGCAGAAAGACATCAGAGATATTTTTGAAAACCTTGTTGCTGAAGGTTCGGAAAGATGCTTTCATCATAGACATATAACAACAATCTTGATTTAATCACATGCTAAAACACTTTGAGTACACATGGCAGAAAGGTGATTTGTAGGGAACTGTCAGGTGAAGTCTTAGGCTTATTGTTGCTTTTAAATAATGGAACAAGAAGACCAATTTTCCAGCCATTAGGAATACAACTTTTGCACACAACTAGGTTGAATAACGATGGTTAACATCGAACAACAGTATGACCACCATACAACAGATGTTCTTGTTGGATTTTGTCATGGCCACTTGCTTTTCTAGGCTCTAAGAGTTTAATTATACCGGTACCATCTTTATTGGATAATACCACCTGACAAATAATGGTCCTTGTCATAACAAGATTTTTTTATGTTTTATTGTAATCAAGTTCTATCTGCTGTTTCATGTCATAACAAACTTCATCACCGTCATGCTGGTAAAGTAGTCCATTTGAAAATCTAATATTAATGTAAAATGAATTTTTATGCCCCACCTAGGGGCATTATGTTTTTAGGTCTGTGCGTTCGTTCGTCTGTCCCGCTTCAGGTTAAAGTTTTTGGTCAA